GAAAAATGATCTGACACTGAACTGAGGTGACAGTTATATAGGTGTGAAAACGCTAGAAACCCGTGCACGCTTTAAACCAGGGCAGCATCTGCTGTGCAGATTGTATCTCAACAAAATTGTTATAAAACATTTTAAAAGTGGTTCAAATTTTGTCAAGAAAGAAAAAGAGACAAGACTCTAAGACTGTGTTTAACTGCGGTGTTTTAGTGTCGGCCCAGGTAGCAGAAAGTTATATGTTTTAATGTTTTTATCCCCTGGAGCAGTAACACAACTGAACTGTGTGTGCGTTGAATATGTGTGAGTGAGAGAGCCTCAGTCCTGACACCTGAACTCTGCTAGAACACTCACTCAAATTGTGCAGCCACAGGACAAGGACATCGTCTTGTGGACCACAAAACTGGTTTGTTTGTTTGGTTGGTTGGTTAGTTGGTTATTTGGCTGGTTTTTGGTTTTTTGAGACAGGGTCTCACCCGGTAGTTCAGGCTGGCCTCAAATTCACTATGTAGCCCAGGCTGGCCTCGAACTCACAGCGATCCTCCTGCCTCAGCCTCCCGAGTGCAAGAGTTGCAGGCATGCGCCACCACGCCCTGCAAAGGGCATTGTTTACAGCTGTCACTGGTCCCTTCATCTTGCTTCCAGCCTGGGATCCGCAGCTGTTTCCCAAGCAGACCAGGCTCTGTAAATTGGGAGCTGATCCAAGACCACACGTTCTGTCTGGGCAGGGCTGGGGTGTAACTCAGGGGTAGAGCACTAGCATCACGAGGTCCCGGGTTCAATTCCCAGCACCCCCCCCCAAAAAATGTGGGCACATGACAAATGAGCCCTGAGCCGATGTGGTTGCTGCTCTCCCTGCCGTCCGGGCTCTGGGTGTTTTTCTCCTAGGTCTTCCCTGTCCAGGGAAGGCACGGAGTCCACTCTGTGAAGTCTTGGACTGCACCTTCCCAGGCGTCTCTATTTCCTGTGCTTGGCTGAGCGCAGAGCTGTATCAAAAGCTCTTGGTGGTTCTGTCTTCTCGCTTTATCTTGATTCTATCCGTAGTAAGTTTCTTACTCTTTGACTCAGGCAGAAGATGATTTTAAACTTTCCTGAAAGAAAAGAAAGAGCTAAAGTTGTTTTAGACACAGCCAGTGGCTAACCTGCTGGAGCTTGTTCTGAGAGTTGTCTCATGAAGTCACTGTTGTAGTCCAGCCTCTCCCTACTCCAGAGCCGCTGCCCACCCGCTGGGAGCCCACGGCGGAGGGCGGGGTGGGTGTTCACAGGGCCTCTGCCTTTGGTCTGAATTAAGAGTTGGATCTGCGGCTGGGTGCAGCTTGTGGCCAGGGCCTGGCTGGCACCCACAGGTCCTGACTAGGCCCTCGGCACTGGGAAAGAGGTCCTGCCTGGGGCTTGTTGGGGGTTGAAGCAGCTGCTGGGGTGAGAGGGTGGGGTGGGGGCGGAGCTTGGACTCACACCAGCCTCCCGTTCCAGTTTAGGGTGCTCACCTCGGAGCGCCTGCTCAGAAGTAACAGGACAGATGATCGGAACCGCCCCTCAGAGACTCTGGGAATGGCAAGTGATTGTAGTATTTTTTTTTTTTTAATGTGTGGAACAGGGCCTCAAACACAGTCAGCACTTGGTTCATTTTATCTATTATCCTGTGTCTTAATCTCACAAACTGCCAAAGGCCTCTTTTTGTTGTTTTGTTTTATTTATTTAGTTAGTTATTTGTCTTTTTGAGACAGGGTCTCGCTATGCAGTTCAGGCTGGCCTTGAGCTCACTTTGTAGCCCAGACTGGTCTCGAACTCACAGTGATCCTCCTGCCTCAGCCTCCCCAGTGCTGGGATTTATAGGCATGAGCCACCACACCCGGCTTGTTTTATTTTTTGAGACAGGTCTGGCTATATAGTCAAGGCTGCCCTTGAACTCACTTTGTAGCCCAGGCTGACCTAAACCCTTAGCAATCCTCCTGCCTCAGCCTCCTGAGTGTGAGGATCACAGGCATGCACCACCGCTCCTGGCTCAGGATTCCTCTTGCCAGAAACGTGAGCTCGGTCCCTGAGAGCAAATGGAGCATGGAGGATGGAGCCAGGCCTAGCTGCGGGGCTCGGTTCAGACAGATAGAGGCCATGTCCTTTGTCCTTCAGTATCACTGGTATGTCAGAGGCGCTTAGTCCCCACGGCAGAGGAGCCGAGTCCAGTGGGAGGACCCAACTCTGCGCAGAGTTCTGGGGTGACTCAGCAGCGCCCGCCCGCAGCTGATGTGGGGTGCTGGCAACAGTCGAGGCCTTTAGAGGGGACCTGCCCCTGGGATGAAGGCAATGGCTAGGCAGAAAGCCTTCGAGCTCCCTCGCACTCCTTGGTGCAGTGACACACTTACCTGCGCTCCCAGCCTTGCTGACCCTGGCTCGTGTTCCCCCTGCTTCACTGGGTGGGGAACCCCCTGTCCACCTGAGCGATCCCATGGGGCAGAGCTGACCTGTGGTTCAGTCTCAGCTGACGCTGCAGCCTCCTGCTTCAGAAGTGAGCATGGAGACCGGGTCGCTGGGCCACCTCCCTGCCTTTGTCACGACCCCTGTCCCTGCTGGCCGAGGCCATCAGGGCCGGTGTGTTTCCTCTCATCGCTGTGACGGGTGGTCGGCGGGGCCTGGGGCAGCTCCCCTCCAGCCCGCCCCCTGTGAGGCGGGAACAGCAAGTGGCAGCCAGTTGGAGACAAGAAGAGCAGGTGAGGCTCTGGAGATCTGCAGTAGGAAAGGGTCTCATGACTAGCCTGGGGTGGGGGCGCACACACCTGTCATCCCAGTGCTAGGGAGGCTGAGGCGGGAGGATCGCTGCAAGTTCAAGGCCTGCCTGGGCTACAAAGTGAGTGCAAGGCCAGCCTGAACTACACAGAGAGACCCTGCCTCAAAAAACAAAAAAGAAAAGCGCCTCATGACCAGGGCATCTGCTCCAAGTCAGCCTCCCTGGAAGGGGCCCCCAGGTGCCACCTCCGACCAGCTAGCTGATCACAGCGCTGTTCATTCTCTGCCACCGCCCTGCCCTCCCCCAGCCGCCTCCCATGGGGCAGCAAGGGACGGATTGATGCGTGGCACCAGCTCTGTGCCTGCACTGTCGCCTGCAAATGTGCTTAGCACTCGCAGGTTTCTCCACCCCTGCAGGAACCCTGGGCAACCAGGACAGGGCCTCCCACTCTCCAAAGGGAAAAGGCAGGCACCCAGGAGCCAAGTTATTTGCTGAAGGAAACAGGAAAAGAGCTAGAAATTTAGCTGGGTCAGAAGTTGAACCTTGCGATCACATTTCGCCTAAAATACAGTAATCAACAAGACTTTGTTCTTAAATAAAATGTTTTAATAAAAGGCGGCACATGTATGCTTTTCTTTTCAAGAACATTAACAGCAGGTTGGTTGGCGTGAGTGCGATATGCGATATTCTACATCATCAGTAGCAAAAACAAGGTTACAAATAAATAAATAGGCTTCAGCATCGCTGGTCTTGAGGGTATTCTGCAAACTAGCTCAGAGGATCTGGGTTTGGCTTTTCCTCTAAAGATGCGTCTGGGTTGGCTGGGGGTGGAGAAGGGAGTCCTGTGCACCCCGCGTGGATCGAGTAACGCCGGAGCGCCCCTCCGCGGAGAGGAGTCCCGGCCCTCCCCTGGACATTTTGCCGAGGTTTCGCAGCTTAACCGAAGCCAAGAGAGCACCACCAAAGAATTGCCGTCTGGGTGTTTGAGGCTGCGGCGGGGTAGAGGTGGAGCCAGCAGGGATTCTGGGGACAGCGGGGCCAGACTAATGGGGAGGAAGATGTCAGCCAATAGCAGAGAAGTCAGTGATGCCTGAATGTTTAGACAGCATCTCAGGCACTGCAGCCATTCCGAAATCCACACCACGGGCATGCGTGGAGAGTGGAAAAATACCAGAAGCAGAACGCTTGTTAATGTGTGGCCCTAGGGATTGAATCCAGCCCCTTCACGCTGAGCTATGTCCCCAGCCCTTTTCTGTGTTTTGAGACAAGTTCTCTCTAAGTTGCTAAGTTGCCCAGGTTTGATTCAAACTTGCAGTCCTCCTGCTTCAGCCTCCCAAGTGCTGGGATGACAGGTGCACACCACCATGCCCGGCTGGTCTACCGTTATTGAGAGCACCACATCTAAGGATCCAAATATCACTGAAGCCGTTTAGACACTGCTTGGCGTCTAGCAATTATGTGCAAGGTACTAAAACTCCTCCTTGGCCCGACCCCCCTTCCCTAGCAAATCCAGTGTGCTTTTCTCCTTTTGGGGGTGAGGACAGCACATCTGGAGAGTCTCAGTTGTGATCTCTGTCCTGGGCTCACAAGCTCCCCAACCTGGAGGTCTTGCTGCGCCCAACGGGCAGGAGAACAGGAAAGGTCCTCAAGGGGCAATGAGGTGGTTGCAACTTCTGACAGCCCAGGCTTCCGACGCAGGCCTCCTCAGCTCCTCAAACCGTTGCCCAGTGCGATCAGAGTTGCAGAGCAGGGAGGGGCTCCCCACCGCTGACCGCACGCCTCCGGCCCCGAAAGGCCCTGGCGGGAAGCCTTGGTCCCTGGTCCTTGCAAGTCACTGGCTTGGATACGCAGACCCTGCGCACCTCACAGCACTTTCCTGTGCGGCCGGCCCAGCAGCCGGGCCAGGCAGTAGGGGACGAGGCTGACGGACGCCAGGGGCACCGCAGCGCTCTTGCAGAAAGACAGGACGTAGAAGACCAGCTCCACCCGGGCCGGAGGCTTCAAGGTGTCGAAGAAGTGCAGGAGCACGAGCGAGGCCCCGATGCAGCCCAGGCGGAACGGGAGCTGCCCTTGGAGCTGGCCGCGGCAGCCCTGGCGGTACATGCCCGAGTGCAGGGCCAGCCCCAGCCCCAGCAGGGTCCCCAGGTTCTTGAGGAGGCTGGCGAAGGGCGTGGTGTCGATGTGCACCCACTCGGGCCGCTCGCACCACCGCTTGGCTTTCTCCAGCGTCCACAGGAGGTCCACGCCCAGCGCCCTGAGCAGCAGGTAGAAGCCCACAGCGAAGCCAAACAGGAAGCCGGTGACCAGGACGTACTTCCTGAGGCTGGCGTCGTAGATGCCCCGGACGTGGTGGAAAGTTTCCGCAACGACAATGCCTGGGCACAGGGAAGAACGGCGGCGTGAGGGAGGGGAAGATCCTAGACTCCCGCTAGGGGTGCACGGGAGCCGCGGGCTCCTGCCGTCCACTGTCACCAGGCCGAGTGGTCGCCCCTGCCTCCCCCTGCATTTAAGCTTCCTGTTGTCCTCCTGTCTCTACTTGAACACCCTTGGGTCTGGGGAGCTCGCTGCCCTCACTGTGAGCGCTGAATCTTAAGTGCTAGTCCTACCCAGCGCTGCGTGGACAAGTGTCCCCACCAGTGCCCGCTGCTGGGCTCCGCTCTCCGCACGGAGGCCACTGCCTCGCCAGTCTAGCTCCTCTGCCCGGCATTCTCAGACAGCTGTCCTCTTCTCTAACCTAAACATCCCCAGGCTTGTCATGGGACACAGCTTCCAGAGTCTTCCCAAATTAGGGGACCCAGCACGACCTGTGACGTCACTGCTGTGGTTGCCAGGAAGCCACTCTCTCCCTCGTTCTCCACTTTTCCTGGGGTGGCTTCTGTGTTCTGCTCTTAGAACTCCAGGGAGAGGGGCCGGGGATGTAGCTCAGTGGCACAAGCTCCTGCCTGGCAAGTGCAAGGTCCTGAGTTCAATTACCGGCACGAACACACAAAAAAGAACTCCAGGGAGAAAATATTCCTTAAAATCTGATATTCCAGAGCCTTCCACGAAGCTGAGAAATCCTTCTCTACACTTCACTTAGGGGCTGGGGATTTAGCTCAGCGGCAAAAGTGCCTGCCTGACAAGCGCAAGGTCGTGAGTTCGGTTCCTGGTACCGGAGAAAAACAAACAAACAAAAAAAAAAACAAACATACACTTCACTTAAAATCTTTTGGCCTCCTTATTAATTAGATCGAAGGGAATGCAGACATGCAAAACTTTGAACCTCCAACAGAGCCGCTGCAGATACTTACTAGGTCTGCAGAAGAGTCTATGTAAATCAAGAGTGTTGAGTTTGGTAATTCCCTGAAAATGAAGTTAGGGCCACTTCCAATGGCAGATCAGTAAAAAATAAAGAATGTAAATAGCATGGAGCGTTCAAGCTGACTTGACTGGGGGAGTTATTCTGACGCACTGCAGCTTTTGTGGAATACGTTTAATTGGGTAAGACTGGACACTGCTATAGAGAATAACTCAAATTGCTCTCTCTCTCCCTCCGGCCACACACTGGGGACTGAATTCAGGTCTTCCCACCGAGCTACATCTCCAGTCCCTTCTAATTTTTTTTTTATTTTGAGACGGGGTCTTCCCAAGTCCCTGGGTTGCACAGGCGGAGCTTCAACTTGCCATCCTCCTGCCTCAGCCTTTCCCCCTTGACTTTCAGATTTCTGAAATGCTAGCAGTGTGGAGGACATGCAGAGCGTGGCTGGCCGGCTGGGGCTTCGTCCTGAGTAGGGGTGAGGAGGGACGGGGATACCTGACAGGACTCCAGCGACAACCTGGTGCGGGAAGTGAGCGGCGAGGTAGATCCGTGACAGACACACGCTCAGCTGCACAGCCCAGAACAGCAGCCACAGAACGGCGCTCAGGCACCTGCAAAGGAAGAGGCTCCGGTGGCCACAGCCCAGCACCTGAGCTCCAGAAGCCCCCCTTGGTGCCAGGCCTCGTTTGTCTGAAAGACACAGGTCACACGAGTGGGTCCCTTCCAGCCCTAACGTTCTGTGATTTTAATGTCCACCCTCCGCAGAAGTGCGCCGGCTTCCCAGCTATAGGAATGGGCTAGGGATGTGGAGAAGAGCGGGTGATGTCAGCCACAGCGAGGGCCACCCTGCCTCCCCGCCAGGGGCGCTCTTACCGAAATCTGTATGTTGGCTTTTTCTTTCCCTGGAAGATAGAGAGGATCGATGTGACCATCACGTAGTATACACCTGCTGTGCCCATAGCGTGGCCGGAAGGACTCCCTGCAGGGCAGGAAAGAGATGAATGGACTGAACATGAGAAGGTCTCCATCTGAGAGACTGCCAGGGGCATCATTTTCCCATCACCCGGTATCCGTCTTCCCTTCCACCCATCCATTTATTCTCCCATCCGCCCTCCCATCCATCCATCCTCCCATCCATCCATTCCCCTGCCCTACCTTCCACTCATTTATACATAACTTATTTATTTAACAAGCATCTTACTATGGGCCGAGAATTGTTCAAGACCTGGGGAGCGACATCTGAGAAGACCCGTGCTGCTGTGACCACTTCCGTCTGGAAGCCACATAGAACATCTGCACACCGGATGTGAATCTCGCTCCATGCTGCCCGCCACTGATTTTCTCTTTCCTCCTGCTCTTTGCTCCCTGTTCTGGCCACACCGCTGCCTGCTCTCCTTTAACCTTGCCTGGTGCACCCCTACCCCAGGGCCTTTGTGTGGCTGTACTCTCTGGCCAGACAGCTCTTCCTCCAATTCCCCGGCCGCATCCCTGGCTCCTCCGAGTCTCCTTTGTGTTTTGGCTCAGATCTCTCTGGATCAGCGGGTCCCCTCGGGCCACCCCATTTAACACTGCAGTCAGTTCCCACCCCCGAGTCTTCTGCCAGAGGGACGCAGGGCCCTGCGATTCCCCCGAACTCCCTGAACAAAGGGCCTCAGCTACCAGTCTTCTCTGGGCGTTGCCAGGGCTGACGGCCACCCCAATCAAGGTGACCTCTCCTTCCCAGTGGCCTGCACCCAGTAACCAGTCTGCACCAGGCCGTAAGGCCAGGAGCGGGGGCCGCAGAGGAATGAGGAGGGCCACATTAAGAAATGTGGTGTCAAACCTGGTGTGGTGGTGCACACCTGTAATCCCTGCACTTGGGAGGCTGAGGCAGGAAAGACTTGTGACTTCAAGGGCAGCCTGGGCTACAAAGTGAGTTGAAGGCCAGCCTGAACTACATAGTGAGACCCTGTCTCAAAAGACAAAAAAGAAAGAAAAGAAAAAAAGGAATGGAGTCTCAAGCCAGGTGTGGTTTCGCCCTGGCCTCGGAGCTCCTCGTGGGGTCGGGGAGGCCGAGCCACACCGGACATCTCCTCCTCCTCGCTTCCCTTGCTGCGTTTAGCCTAAACATCGTCATCTTCTCACGGCCTATGTACTTCACTTATTTATTATGGCTTCTGCGTCTCACACCCGCTTCGGGTCTGGCTCCCAGGCCCCTCGCTGCCGTCTCCGCAGGGCTGGGCCTCACCTGGCCCAGTCTCGCACGTGACCGGGAACTGCTTAATCAGCGGTGTGGAGGTGTTGCTGTAGTAGTCCGTGTCCCGGACCCACCAGTACGGGCGCTGTCCGAAGAGAATCCTAGGAGAAGCAGAGAAATTTGTCTGGAGTCACCCCGTGGACGCTTTTGCCGGGAGCCCAGCTTCTGGAGGAGAGGGATCTTGAGGACGCCTGTATTCCCTCTAGGCAGGGGACTGGGGGCTGGGTGGCCTGGAGAGACTTTCACAACACAGCATTTAGAACACTTTTGAAATTTGAATGTTTTATCCATTCAAGCTTAAGTAAATCAGAAGTCAGGCATGGTGGCATGTGCCTGTAGTCCCAGCTCCTCAGGAGGCCGAGGCAAGAGGATCTCTTGAGCTCAGGAGTTCGGGGCCAGCCTGGGCAACACAGCAAGACCCCATCTCTTTTTCTTTTTTCCCTTTTTTTGGTGGGGGCGGACTGGGGTTGAACACAGGACTCACACATGCTGGGTAAGTGCTCTACCACTGAGCCGCACACTCGATTCTTTTTATTTCTTATTTTGAGGCACGGTCTCCACAAGTTGCCTTGAACTTGTGATCCTCCTTCCTCATCTCCCAAGTAGCTGAGATTACAGTCATGTGCCACCACACCTGGCTTGAGACTCCATTCCTTTTTTTCTTTTCTTTCTTTTTTGTCTTTTGAGACAGGGTCTCACTATGTAGTTCAGGCTGGCCTTCGACTCACTTTGTAGCCCAGGCTGCCCTTGAAGTCACAAGTCTTTCCTGCCTCAGCTTCCCAAGTGCAGGGATTGCAGGTGTGCACCACCACACCAAGTTTGAGACCACATTTCTTAATATTAATTAATTAATTAAAGCCGAGATAAACTATTCCATATTAGTGGCAGCTGAGTGATTTTTTTAAACCCCAAGAAGAATTTGTCTGGGAAAGACGCATACAGGAAAACAGTTAACAATGTGGACTTGCTGATACAATGGACTCCATCTTCTGTGCTTCAGGTCTCAGGGAATCGTGTTTCCTGTGACATCCGAGGATGTGCCCAGCCCCATGGACGGCCCCCCGGGAGACCTGGCCTCTTTCCCTGAAGATTCAGACCCTGTGAGGTTGCATGTGCGCCAGCAGCCTGCTTTCTGTCCTCTCTGCCTTGAAACACAATATCTCAGACCAGCCACTTCCCCCTCAAGAGCACTAGATACAGTTTTCACAGTGAAAACAGGCCTCAGAAGTCATTAGGATGCTTCTTATCAAAACTGGGGACAGCCACCAACTCTGCCCTCTACCCGCCCAGAAACAATCCATGGCTCTTTCATGAGATTTCAGGAATCTCATCAATACACCTTGCCTAATAACATTCTTTTCTTATTCTAAAAGACTTTTATTGTGTGTGGCCAAAAAATATTAGAGCTAGGAGTTTTTGTTTTTGTGATTTAAGATAAAGTCTAAATTGCCCAGGCCGGCCTGAACTTTTGATCCTCCTGTCTCAGCCTCCTGAGAGGCTGAGATTAGAGGCGTGTGACACCACACCCAGTCTTGAAAGCGATCCTAGGAGTCTCCTAGGGCAGAGCTATAGCTCAGGGGTTGAGCACTTGCTTAGCACGTGCCAGCCCTGGGTTCCATCTCCAGCTCTGCATAAATAAGTAAGAAAAAAATAAAGCTGTCATCTGACACAACCATTCCTCTCTGGCTGGAACTGATGAAATCAAGCAGGGAGTGACCCGAGTGCTTCCCTTGGTCTCTCCTTTGACGGCCTGGGAACCGCGGATGACCTGGCGTGAGATGCGTGTCTAACACACACTCACAGGGACTGTTCAGGTGCCCGACGTAACCTGGCTCACAGACCACCAAGTAGGAGCTCAGAGGGCTGGAAGGACCTGCGTGGCCACCGTGGACGGCGCAGGCGGGGGTGGGACGGGCTCTGAGCCGTCCGCTGCCCGTGCAACAGGGTTCCTAGCCATCCCGCGCATCATGTCTTCATGGTTTCAATTCTCTCTCTTTTTTTTCTTCGCAGTGCTGGGGATGGGCCCCAGGCCTCGTGCACACTGGGCAAGCTGCACCCCAGCCCTCAATTCTCTTTCAAAATCATCAAAGTAATTCTTTGCTTCAAGCCTGAAATAGCGCAGGGCTGTCACTGACCTCCCCTGGTCCCTTCCCTGCAGCTGCTAGGAAATCGCCGCCCTGGGGCTCCAGCGCACAGACAGGGCTGTCTTTGTGGTGGGTCCCCAAGGGGCATTAGCCTGGGGCTCCCGAGCGGGTGGGGGCAGCCCCCCCCTCCAGCGCCGGCTTCTCCCCGCCGTCCCTGCTGCGTGCTTCTCACCACTTGAAGACGAGGTTGAGCCAGTCTCCAATCACAGCCACCCAGAGCAGCCTGATGCCCACGGCCTCCTGCAGGTGGAACCAGATGGGGAAGAGCACGTAGAAGGCGTTCCTGAGGTCGGCGAGCACGGACACCAAGATGAACCAGTCCTGCGAGTCCTGGAAGTTCACCTGCAGGTAGCGCGTGGACTGGATCCCGAAGTCGTGCAGCGCGTTCATCCCGAGCTCCATCCTGGGCCGGGCACCTTGGGGGCTGGGAGCGAGGACTGCAGGCTGTGTGGCCAGCGCTCTGCTATCAGCCTGTGCCTTGCCCCTGCTTTATATGCCCTGCAGCCAGTCCGCAGGCCAACCCAGCCCTGATCTTTGGACTCAGAAACCACTTTTGTCTAAATTCTATTGATCAAAGGTGCATCATCGGGAGGTTGATGCGAACGTGTTCAGGGTGATTTACGTAAAAAACAAAACGGCCACACACAAAAACAGCCTGATCGGCCCCTGGCAGGGCCAATCATTAACCTGGGCACGCTGCTTAGGGGGCAAGGGGCTGCCCTCCTGGTTCCTGCAGCAGCCGGGGCCACAGGGCAGAGTCAAATTCCACCCTGCGTCTGGCCGACCTGGCTCCTTTTCCAAGTCCACAGCTGCGCTGCCCCGAGGCCAAAGGAAAGCTTCGGTGGTGCAGCCGCTGGGGTTTCATTCATCTTAGAATGTGCGGTGCGCTTGTGCTGAGCCTTCCCTTTTGGGGCTAGGAGCTGGGGTGACCTCTGTCCAGCTTGGGGATCAACCCTCTCCCCAGCGTTCGCTCCGTGTCTCAGCCTTCACGGAATGCGAGAACGCAGTGGATGCGTGAATTCGATGAATCACTCCTGAGTGCGGTGATTGATGCAGTTAATGGGTTTCCTGTGAGGGTTTCAGCACGTACATATAAATGAAGGTTCAAGCCGGGCGTGGTGGCACACGCCTGTACTCCCAGCGCGTGGAAGGCTGAGGCAGGAGGATCTTTGTGAGTTCGAGACCAGACTGGGCTACAAAGTGAGCTCAAGGCCAGCCTGAACTGCATAGCCAGACCCTGCCTCAAAAAGACAAATAAAAATAAGTGAATGTTCATGCAAAAGGATACCAGCAAATGGGTAACTGGGGACTCTGGAGAGAAGGTGAGGACGACCTGGGTGTTTCTCAGGAAGGGCTCCAGCATGGTGTGCGGACACTGGGACTCGTTTACAGGAGCGGCCCGTGAGCACCCAACACCTCCCCAGGAAAGCAGAGGGAGCGGGGGCGTGTGCTGGTGACCAGGTCAAGGTCGCGGCCTGACTCCCGCCAGGAAGGCTGAGTGGGGAGGGGCAGGCTGGGGACAGCGCAAGGGGACTCAGCGGAGGCGGGCGCCATTCGCTGCCAGAAATGACTGAAAGCTCACCCAGGAGGGGCCTGGCCCTCGCCCCCAGCTTGTTCCCCTGCCACAGCCCTGCGGACCCAGTTGTCCTCCAGCACCGTCTCCTCCGGGCCGGTGTCGTGCGGTGCCAGCCGCTGGGCCGGGTGGGGAGTGGGGCTGGGAAATTGGCATGCTCGGGGCGGTGCTGGCGGACGCGGCCCCGTGCGCTCTACACCGTGGCGTCAAGGGGCCCCAGGCAGCGGCCTCACCAGAAGAGACAGCCGCGTCCCTGCCGGGGGAGTGTGCCCGACAGCATTGGGCAACCGCGGCGGCAATGCCCGGAACCAGCGCGTTCGCGGTCAGAGGTGAGCTCAGGGCACACGGGGCAGATGCTCCCACAAAACGTCCAGGTGGCCCTGTCACGTCCCTGCGGGCCGCCAACAGCCAGGACCCTGCCCAGGGCAGGGTCAGTCCTGCGCCCAGCATGGTGGGAGGAAGTGGGGAGCCCCGGAGAAATCTGAGGGGGTGCCCGTGTTGCCGTCTTCACAGCTAACGATCCATCCTGGAGGCAGAGGCAGGAGAACCCCTCTGCCGTGTGGGTGAGCCTGTGACCCCGTGTGCGGAGCCTCTGTGATTACTCAAGGACACATGCACGGGCCCCATCTTCTGACCCTCCAGCCTTTCTTGCTTCCTGCAGCAGATTTTTATCACGTGCAGAAGGAGGGGAGACCTGGAGAGCTGACTGTGGAAAGAAACCATGACCTCAGAGATCTCAGGATACAGGTGGTAAAGACTGCAGGTGAATCTTTTTTTGAGACAAGGGATCCCAATGTTGCCCAGGGTGACCTTGAACTTGAAGCAACCCTCCCGCCTCAGCCTCCTGAGGGCTGGGATTATAGGCATGTGCCATGACACCTGGATCTAGATAAAGCAGGTGAGTTCCTGAGGTTCTGCTTTGCTAAGAACCCACTCGTTTATGGAGCCATGCAAGGGCTGGGGCGCGATGCAGTGATAACGCGTCTGCCTGTCGTGTGCAAAGCCCCAGATTCTGTCCCCAGCAAAGAACACAGAACAAAGGCTCTGTTGCCAGAGAGGAGCCCCCCTCGCTCCCTCGTGTCATCTCTTCCAAGGGGGCCACCAGTCTAACTTAGCCGGGGTGAACCCTGGTTGTCCTCGGGACCCCGGCTGTCTGGGGGCGCAGGGAGGCCAGACGCTTCCCTGTGAGGTGAGCGGGAGGAACTGAATCTCCGCTGTTCGAGCTCACCGGGCTCCTTCCTGTTAGCACCCCAGGGAAATGCCCACGAAGCCCGGGAGCAGTGGGAAATGGGGGGCCCTCAAGGTTGGGACACTCACAGGGCACTGCTCAGGCATTCTCCAAAAACAGAAATCCAGAGGCTCCGGGAAAAACGTGAAAGGTTGGCGTCAGAAAGTATAGTCCACCCCGGGGACGAATGAGGACAGCAGGGGCCAGCGCCAGGCTGACACCTTCTCCGGGGCAAGGGTGACTCATTCCTATTTGCAGTGGGAAAGCAAGGAGGGTAAGAAGCCATTGTGTACTGCTCCTAGCATCCAAAAATTGTTTTTAAAACATTGTGGTTTTTTTTTTTTCTTACTTGTTTGCAGTCTAGCTATGCATTCCAGGCTAGCCTTGAACTTGCAGTGATCCTCCTGCTTCAGCCTCCCGAGTGTGCAATCACAGGTGTGTGTCGCCATGCCCGGCCAAAAATTTCACTTATTACCCAAAAGAAAGCCTGACTCTCTCTGCATCTGAGCCCTCTATCCTGGTGGGCGCTCCAGGTTCTGTTGGGGGAATCCTCCCTCTACTCTGCTCATTTACTGGCACTAGCAAGGGTTTAGTCTTCACAGGGGAGTGGGGACCCAGCCCCAGCTTCAAGCCCAGCTTCCTCTGAGCAGCAGGCTCGGTCGCAAGGGCTATGGCCCCAAGCGCTGGGGAAGGAAAATGAATGGAGGTGTGTGAGGTCGGTTAGCTACACCAGCACCCCTCCCAGAAATGCAGTCACCATGTCCTGCAGGTATGGACTCATCAAATGGAAACTTAAAAACAAACAAAGCAAAAAGAAATCATATAAAAAGGTGTATAGTTTGATTTATTTAATGTTTTTTCTACCAGGCATGGTGCTGCACACACCTGTCATTCCAGTACTTAGGAGGCTGAGGCAGGAGGATTGCTGTGAGTTCAAGGCCAGCCTGAACTGCATAGGGAAACCCGGCTTTAAATTTCTTTTTCTTTGCATTGTTTGGGTGCTTTATTCCTTGACTGACCGACGGGAGAAACCCAGTGCTGCTGCCCTCGCAGTGAGTGACCCTGTCATCAGCCAGAAAAACAGGCCGGGAGGTTAATCATTGTCAGCCGGGAAAATGGCTGAGTTATCTCTGGCACAGTGAGAAAGTTCAGTGTGAGGACCTTGACCTGTGCATCTGTTGACCAGGTGGCAGGGGCCTGGCTGTCAGGCGGGGGGACATCGTGTCCACAGGAAAGGCCCTGAAGGCCGTGGCCTGCATGCCGGGCCAGGTGTCCCTTCCTCTGCCGAAAGCCAGTGAGCCCCAGGCTGCACCGGAACCCAGCCCCTTCCTGTACTTCCTCCCTTCCGCCAATCCTGGGAAGTGGCGTTTGGCTAGGAAGTCCCGTTTCCACGTTGCTGGTTCCCTCTGGGTAGGTGCTGGGCTCTTCTCCCAGGCAGTGCCTGAGCTCTCAGACAGTCAGGCCACTCTCGCTATCTGCGGCAGCCCCTTCCCGCTGCAGGCGAAGCTTGGCCCTCGGTGGCAGAGGCAAGGAAGTCAGCTTGCAAAAATGGGGTCAGCCGGGCATGTAGCTATGTCTGTCATCGCAGCGCTCAAGAGGCTGAGTCAGGAGGAACCCTTGAGCCCAGGGGTTCAAGGTCAATTTGGGCAACATAGTGAGCCCCTGTCTCTTAAGGAAAAAAGAATTACCCAGAAGAAATACACTTACATGATTTTTAAAAATGCAAAGATTTCAAAAGGTCCTCAGTGGAGGCAGCTTCCTCCTACCCCGGGGAAGGCTCAGCACCAGGCTGCCAGAAGTGGGCTGGGACCCAAGAGGCCCCCGCGGTGCCGGCAGAAGCCGCTCCCATGCAGAGCCCCGCGCCCTCCCTGTGCTCCTGGCTCCCGCTGTGTCCTCGGGGCCTTCAGCCTCTGTGATAGCCGGGCCACTGTCCCAACCACACAGCTGGAGAACAGGCGGTCGTTGTCCTGCTTCTGCCCCAGCACGGGCTGGGGTGCAGCAGGGGGAGGGGCCGGAGGAGCATGGGGAGAAAAACAGCACTGCTGTGTGTGTGTGTGTGTGTGTGTGTGTGTGTGTGTGTGTGCGTGTTCGCACGCGAGCAACTATTTTAAGACATGAAAAGTCAGCAGGAAGTCAACAGCAAATGCCTCTTCCAGGCCTCACCCCGCTAGAGAAGGTGCAGCCGGTTCCACCTGGCCGGGGTCTCCCCACCTGGGGTCCTGCAGCCCTGGGCACCGCAGCCACCTCTGTGGCAGGGATGCTGCCCCTCGCCTCGTCCCTGTTGCCGTCACCGGCACCGCCACTCCGCGGGGCTCTCAGCCACCCGAGCTCTGGCGTCTTTGCCGGTCGTCTCAGGAAGTGCCACGCTGAGTGCTAGGCTGCCTGCTCCTGCCCTCTTCCTGCTTCCTGTCCAGGAACCTCGGACCCCAGGAGCCAAACTTCCAGCCTCCTGCCTCAGCCTCCCAGAGCGCAGGGATTATAGGCGTGTGTGCCACTAGGACTGGTTCAGAGACTTCCTAGAATGAAATTCTTTCCACTGTCACCGGAAAAATATGCAGTATCTCCTTGCCACCTACAGAAGTTCAAGCCCAACCCACCCAGTCAGGCTCTTTCCTGTCTTGTACCGCATGGCCCCACTGTGTCCCTACACAGCAGACAAGCTTGAATTTTCCAAATGCGCTTGCTTGTCTAACTTTGCAGCTCTCCACCTGGAGTCTCATGATCCCTGTGCCCAAATGTCCGGGTTCTAACTCCTGTCAAGGCCAAGCTAAGGAAGCCCTCAACCGCCTGTCCAGCAGCCCTCCTTAGCGGGAGAGGCCCGATCCAAGCTCCCAAGCTCCCTCCCCTCGTCCGCTCCTGCCTTCTCGGTCTTCACCTCTGCGGGTTGTTCAGATGTCAGGAAATACACCCCCCCCTCACACCCCGCCCCCATGTGCATTAGGATTCTCCTCCGTCCTCTGGATCCGGCCTGAGCTCCAGACTTGCTCTGGCTGATGGGACATCTGTCTTGTGCGATGCTCCCACCCCAGGGCCACCAGCACTTAGGTTAGACCAGAGCAGGCCCAGGGGACACGTGGGGGCGAAATCCAAAGTAGCATCACTGCCAGTTAAGAAACAAAGGCGCCAATGTGTAACACTTTTAGAACCATCTCTCAGTGGCCACTTTGCCAGTGTGGCCACTCAGCAGAGTGGCATCTGATGTCACGCAGGCTGTGCAGTCCTCTGATGCCCGGCTGCCCAGCAGCTAGCCCAGAGCACGCTCATGGCTCCCCTGGCCGCCTCAGCCCAGCCATTCCAGGACAGGAAAGTCTCAAAGACTTTCCCGCCACGGACTCCAGAGAGCTTAGCTTTCATAAGTTTCTGGCACGGCTAAGGCCCCTGAGGAAACACTGACCGTCTGAAAAGGACCAGAAGGCATTTCGCAGTTCCTACGCAACTGCTGAGTAAAGTGTCCACAAGCATTGCAATGACCAGTTCCCAGACCCCCAGGGGACCTCGGGTGCCCGAGACTTTCCGAAGCCACACGGGGCAGACAGCGCAGACGGTATAACTCTGTCTTTACTCATCTACCATAAACTCCAACTAGACTTCGCGCAGCCTGCTTGTCCACCCTGAACTCTTCCATCCGAGATGACCTTGTGCCCCATTCCCACCGGGAACCCGGCTCCCGGCCCTGCCGACATCGCCCACCAGAACCCCTGGCCTGGCCTCCTCCTTGCTGCGACCTTCACGGGGTCACAGTCCCAGGAAGGAAATGCCTGGGTCCTCGGTGTCAGCATTTTCCTTTGGCCCCGCATCCCAGCCTGATCTGGACAGTATGGTGATTATTTTTTTACTTGAATTTTTGGACTTCCTTCTATCTTCCCTTTTGAGATAGTCCAACAAGAGGGTGAATGTGAAGTGGCTTTCATTATTTTTGTTTAGACAAGCTTTAGCTACGCTGCCCAGGCTAGCCCCAACCAAACTCCTGGGTCCAAGTGACCCTCCTGTCCCAGTCTCAGATTTTAGGGGTATTCTATTGCACTCACCTCTGAAATGGCTTTCAAAAAGGCAAGAAATAATTTGAATGTAACAATTATTGCTTAATAAATGGCTGCAAAGATGTGTTTAAGCTCCCCCAAAGGGACCATGTCTTGCTGGACACAGGGCACAGGACAAGGGACCTGCTCTGGGGAGGTCCAGGGAGAGGCCATGAACCGGATGTCAGCCACACCCTCGGGGTCCAGGCCCACCAGCACATCACTTCGCCCTGTGAGTGGGTTTCAGGGGTCGTCAAGGCATCACCAGATGCAGAGGGAGAAGAGGAAGGTGGGGGGCACACAGGCCCACGGTCCGGGTGTCTGGCATGGGGGGGCATGGGGATGGCGGTGTGGGAATGAGGGGCTGAACCCCGTTTGTGGGCCCCCACATACCCTGCAGAGCGCTGGGGCTCCAAAGACTTCTGAGGGGCCGAAGGAAGACCACGGGAGAGGGAGTGGGCGACGTTTGTGATGCTGAACCCCGCTCTGGAAGGTGCCTCCGACACCCAACCGTTACCAGCAGGACATCTGCAGGTTCATCTGCAACAGGAGCTAAGTGCCAGGTGCGTTTCCTCCCTGGGAAGGGGTCTCCCTCTCCACGCTCCAGAGCGTCCTGTCCTCACAGGAGGGTTTGGAAGGCGGGTGGGTCTGGGCTCACAGCAGACTTGCTGCTAGGACGCGGGGTCAGGTGAGGACCACCCTTTGTGGGCGGGGCCTGAAATGGCTCCTCCCCTCAACCTGGCCCCTCCCTTCTCCCCCTGCTTCCGCTGCACAGTGCTGTGAGCCGCCTCCCTCCGCCAGGCCCTTCCACTGTAGCGTGACCACACAAGGACTGAAACTTCTAAAACCCAAGCAGCAGTAAACCTCTCCTCCCAGCGACAAGGACATGATTAAAAGCAGCGGGAAGTGGGGGCCAGCTGGCTTGGTGAGCAGGAGTCAGAGCCAGCAGTGGGTCCCACGGTGGGTTCCACGGTGCTGGTGCCCCTGTCCCCTAGGTCAAGCACGTCCAGGGCTGGGCCGGCCTGGCCTCGGCGGGTCCCCTGCTCCTGGCGTGGCTTGACAGTCACTCCAAGGGTTCTGCAGTGCTCTTCTCTGAGACGTCAGGTAAGCGCTTCTTGGCGAAGTCTCTGTCAGCCACAGCGAGGCTAGGACAGTGGAACGGGGGGTGAGGAAGCAGCCCCACGGCCCGGCAGTGACTGTCGGCCTCCCCCGTCCCCGGCACCTGACACAGGGCCTGGCAGACGACTGCACCCCCGAGGCCGAGGACACCGCTGAGACAGCCGGGCGTCTCCCCTCACCGCGGAGTCTGCCTGCCCCAGACCCCCTGTGCCGTGTGACAGGGCAAGAGGGTGCGCAGTGGCTGCTTCTGTGAGCCGGAAGACAGGAGAACCCATCTGGACCTCACTGTCTTCAAATATGGGGAAGGAAGGACTCCTGGTGTGAGGAAACCCTCCAGAGGCCTAGAGAGCTTTGGAGCGATTCCGATTCACCACCACTGCCAGTGAGGTGTGGCCCTGGTGGGTGAGGGGCTCGTGTCAGGCCCTAGGAGCGACCCGGGTGGTGCCACGCAGTGCCTGGGCATCTGGGCACTCGCCACATGGAGCCATTTTCTAAAGCCATCATCCAACACCAGGGCCTGCCAGGGCCAACGCCAGCATCCTGCGGTCAGTCGTCTGCTCCTCCATCAGTTTTGTTTTTTGTTGTTGTTGTTGGTTTTTTGAGACAGTGTCTCTCCCTGTAGCCCAGGGTGGGCTCGAATTCAAGCGACTTCTCCTTCTTCAGCCTCCCAAGTGCTGGACTGCAGGCACGTGCCACCGCACCCGGCCCTCCATCTCTTATTTTGGTACTGAGAAGGGAACCTGGGGCCTCGCACACGGGAGAAGAGGACCTTACCACAGCTCCACCCTCAGCCGCACTCCCCATTTGATAGCCAGATGTACCCCCGCCTCTCTCTCTCTCTCTCTCTGTCTCTCTCTCACACACACACATGCACACACGCGCACTCCCACTCTCCCAAGCCCCCCGGGGGCTGGGGACCAAGCGTTCTCTCCCAGCTCACCCTGGGACGGAACTCAGCTCCTCCATGGCTTTGAAACGTCGCTGCCGCTCGGAGCCAAGAGGGCAGAGGGGAAGCTCAGAGCGCAGTGAAGAGCTAGGATGGAGGCAGCACCCTTTGCTAAGAAACAGCGTTCTTGTGATTTACGTCGCCACCCCGTGACCCAGCCGTCTGGTGCGCAGCACTCCGTGGCTTTGGTACATTCCGGTGGTCCAACCCTCACTACACGTGTCCTTTGTGCTTTTTAAGGTTTTCCAGCCGGGGGTACAGCTCAGCAGTGCAGTGCCTGCCTGGCAAGCGCGAGGCCCTGAGTTCGATTCCTGGCACCAAAAAAAAAAAAAAAAAGATTTTCCTATTTGTGTTTCATTCATTTGAATACGTGAATGAATACAACTAAATACTCATCCCTCACCTCCTCCGGGAAGCCCCTCGGCTCCGCAGTGTGTCGTGGCTCCCTGATCCAGGGTGCTCAGCGCAGTTCTGATCCCCACGTTTTATGTACACTCAGCTTTGAGCTCACTGAGGACAGGATGAGGGTCCTCCTTTGTCATGTATCTATGTGAGTCTGGCGGTCAAAGGATGGCCAAGGAGTATTTGATGAGTGAATGAGTGAAATCTGGAAGGACAGGGAAGGTGGGACGGGCGGGCGTGGCCTGAGTGGGCAGAGAGATGCCCGGCCTGCCTTGTCCTGGGTCCGTCCAGCCTGCCTCAGCCGCCTGTTCCCACATCACTGGGTCCCTGTCACGCACCCTCCCCGCTGACCCTCCCCCAGGCCGAGCCGCTTCCCTTCCTGCACTTCAGCGACGTCAGGAGGGAGCTGCGTCACAGACGTGGTGACGGCCGCGGTAGAGGGGCCCAGAAGCCCGTGTCGAGGGGACAACGCACAGGCCTCTCCAGGAGCGCATGGGTGGAGCAGACACTGTGAGGCCGCAGTGTCAGCCACTGAGGGTCAGGGGACCGAGCAGAGACAGACAGGCTGAGCCCAAGCCTGCAGCAGGGTGACCTGCAGAGCCAGGAGGGAGGAAGCACTGGCTGTGTGTGTGTGTGTGTGTGTGTGTGTGTGTAAGGCTAAGGACCCCTGGGGGCCCTGTTCCACACCCCCACGCAGGCCAGCCTGGAGCCCCTGCCCGGACATGGACCTCAGCCTGGAGCCACAGGTCTCCGTCCCCACCTGCCCCAGGAAGGGCAGGTACGGTGTCTCTCTGTGTTTGTTTTGGGAACAAGACAGAGTATTTTCATCCATCACGGCCCAAATTTATTTATTTATTTATGGTTTGGTTTTGTTTTGTTTTTTTGAGACAAGTTCTCCCTATGTAGCTCAGTCTGGCTTTGAACTCACTGTGTAGCCCAGGCTAGCCTTGAACTCACAGCAATCATACTGCCTCAGCCTCCTGAGTGCTAGGATTACAGGCATGTGCCACCATGACCAGCTCCAAATTTCTTTAAACAAGAAAAAAAAAAGTATTTGTCTGGGCTGAGACAGTAAAGAGAAGCTGAATCACTGAGCAAGAGGAAAAGAACTGCCTGTCATCCAAGCACTCAGGAGGCTGAGGCAGGAGGATCTCCAAAAGCTCAAGGCCAGCCTGGGGTATATAGAGAGACCCTGTCAAAAAAAGGAACAAAGATGGAAAGACCCAGCAACTGAACGAACAGGCTCTGCCTGCCCTGCCCATCAAGCGTGGCTCTGGCCCCTCAAGTCCCCTCCCCAGGTCCCTGACCAGGCTCCCCGAGTGAGCTGGGGTCCAGTGCAAGGCCTGAGCCCCAGGTTGTGAATGCTTCTGGTCCCAAGCTGAGCGCCCGCTCTCTGTGCCCGAGCCCTTCCTGTGGCACCGAGCCAGCGTCAGGATCAGAGGCACCGGCTCCACCTGCACAGGACGCTCCCCACACGACCCTGCCCGAGCCCCGCCCTGCTGAGCACCCTGCTCTTACCCGCACCTGGCATTTGCAGCTGCACCCCAATCGCGCAGCCCGCCGGGTGCTCAGCGTAACCACGGCCCCTGCCCCGGGGCCTGGAGACTGAGGCACCTTCTGCGTCCCACAACAGCGTCCCCAGAGCCGCAGCTGCCACCCCCAAAGAATGGGGCTGCAAGACCCGGAGCACAGGGACCCCAGGACCAAAGACCGAGGCAGCGAAAGCCGGCGTTGCAGGAGGCGGGCCGAGCCCACAGACGCCCGCTCCTGATCCACGAGAGGAGACGCCGGCTTCGGGCCGCGCCCTGCAGCCCAACCACAGCTGGTCCTGGACCCCCGTCTTCCCACTGCAAACCCAGGCCAGGGCCCAAGGAAGCTTCCAAATGTACTGAAGCCACTGAGGTATCCCCTAAAAATGGGAATTTTATGCCTATTTCATACTGTAAAAAAGGGCTAAAAGCTGTCACGGGGAAGAGTCGGCAGCTCCTTGCCGGGTCAGACCCAGCCTCTCCAGCGCTGGGCGCACGGCTGCAGGGACGCGCGTGCTCGAGTGTCACCTGCGAGCGGGAACAGGGCGGACACGAGACGCACAACGCTCGGCCCTGTCGCCTGTGCGCTCCGCTGTCGGGGCTGAGACAGGACGGGCCACAGCTCACTCACAAAGACAAAAGTCTACTCTGGCCCTGTTTCTGGTTCTGAGGCTCAGCACAAGGGCGCTGGCCCCGCTGACGGGGCGCAAGGACGGGCAGCACCTGTGGCCGCGTCTGAGCCCAAGGAAAGCGAAAGCGCTTGTGTCCTGAGCTGGGCGCATGGGAGACAGAAGGGTCCCCAGCCCTTCCAGGGACTCCTCAGGAGTCACCCCACCTCCCCACAGCACAAGCTGTGGAACCCAGCTTTCATCACCTGGGCCTAGCTGGGGGTGGTGGTGCACACCTGGAACCCAGCACTCAGGAGGCTGAGGCAGAAGGATTGCTGTGGGTTCAAGGCCAGCCTGGGCTACATAGGGAGACCCTGTCTCAAAATAACAACAGCAAGAAAACAAAGACCAAACTCTAACATCACACACTGCAATGTTACTACGCAGAAAGCAAGGAAACGCTGATTAATTTATACTCCAAAGCCTCCTCAGAGAAGGCGCCAGTCACAGGGAGAGTGTATCAGTCGTAGGTACGTCCAGATCCTCACCAACAGGAAGGAGATTCGACTGTCTCTAGACCTGTGGAAAGACTCAGGGAAGTGGGGTGACAGCTAGCGGGAATGGGGTTTCTCTGGGGCCATGAGAATGTTCTGGAATAAGTGGCACTGCTTGTGGCACTTGGAGCCCGGATGGAAAACCGTAACCAGTGAACTTTGAGTAGTGAATTAAGTCTCATTCGTGAAAACAAGGGAAAAACTTAGAGGACCCAGGCATCCTGTGGGGACAGCGTGGCCACCGCTCAGCTTGGCTGGGCAGTCCCCTCCTCCCTGGCGGGCTCAGCACAGCGGGGCCAGCAGGACCCGTGCCTCCCGACGGGCACCCCGGGCTCAGAGGCCCCAGAGGACAGCGGGAGGAGGGCCGTGCAGGGGACAGCAGGGCTGAGGAAGGACACGGGGAGCCAGGCCGGCCTGTCCCTCACCCGCCCCTAGTCGTGCGAGAAGCCCCCGTGGGAGAAGGCAGGGAGGTGGGGGGCGCAGGCGGCGGCCCGGGACGGGCAGGCCTGGGGGCTGAGCTCGCAGGCGCCGGCGTCCTCGCCCTCCCGGAAGTACACGGAGTCGGCAGAGCGGAAGGAGGGGTCCTCGTGGAAGAAGTTGTAGGGCCGCAGGAAGAAGCCCACCCCGTTGCCCACGGTCACCGTGTTGGGGACGTCCTCTGCGTGCGGGATGTGCAGGAATCCAGCTGTCACCCAGGCCACCAGGTCCTGGCGGGGACAGGAAGGGGATCCTGAGGCCCGGCTTTGCCAGGGACGCACCCACCTCCCGCGGTGGCCTGGAGGGACAGCTTTCACTCACTGGCCGATGCGCTCTTAATTTCTTAGGAAAAGTGAAATCATAAAGCGTTTTTGTAAACCAAGTGTGGTGGCACAGGTGATCTCGGCACTTGGGAGGCTGAGGCAGGAGGATCACGAGTGCTGAAGGCCCGTCTAGGCTACACAGCAAGACCCTGCGCACCCGCTTTTTCTTAGTGGGCTCTAAAGGTCCCTGAGGGGTGTGGCTGGGGAAACCTGAGAGGCTCCCTCTGGTTCCCTGTGCGGCCTGCTCGTCCCATGTGGCTACCTGCCCCGTGATGGTCTAGTTGTTGCTGAGGCTGCTGAAGGGGTCCAGGGGTCCTTCAGGCTGTAGATGCTGGAGCTGCTGGGCTCCTCCTCCTCCCGCTGCATCACAGCCACCTGGTACCTGCAGCAGCGGTGATGACAGGGACAAAGCCACGGAGGTCCCCCTGCCCCGAGCGGGCGGGAGAAGGGACAGGCAGGGCGAAGAGCCACAGCTCCAGGGGCCGGCGTCTGCGCGTCCCAGCCCAGCACGCTCCCACGCTTGCCCAGCACCTGTGTCTCAGCGGCCACCAGCCACAGCCAGACTCGGGACAGGACCGTCACGGGTCCTTCTTCCCAGGTCCGGGCTGATGTGGAGCCTGGGCCTCGAGCCCTGGGCAGACGCAGCCTGACGCCCGCTCCAGGCCACACTCAGGATCTGGCTCCCGGGCAGTGGGAAATCCACCCCATCTACGTTCCTGTTACCCTTTGTTTCTTTTCTTCCCACCTTTACTGTGAACATTTAAAAGTACCAAAAAGGCCGGGCGTGGTGGCGCATGGCTGTCATCCCAGCACTCAGGAGGTTGAGGCAGGAGGGTCACCAAGAGGTCAAGGCCAGCCTGGACTTGGTAGCACGATGCTGCCACCAAATTTAAAAATTCAGAGGAGTTGGAAGGCTCACACATAAATGCCCACAGGCCCTCCATCTAGACACTGCCATGGGCATCCTGCTGCATCTGCGTCCACGTGTGCCATCCGCCCTTCACCGTCCACCCATGCAAAGGGGAGGGTGTGTGCCCTGCCATGCACCCAGGGAATGCGGGTCCCGGGGGCCTCTTCTCCCACTCTCATCACCCTGCTCACCGCCCACAGCTGAAGGCCCCCACCGTGGAGCTGTTCCGGGGCAGCAACGCCCCCATAGGGCCCTGCGGCTGCACACAGTAGCCCCGGGGCGCCCCCACCTACTGCTCTGCCTTGGAGCCAGCGGAGTATGGACTGAAACCTCCACACACTGTGAGCTAAATAAACCTTTCCTTCCTTAATTTTAGGCGTCAGGTATTTTGTCTCAGCAACAAGAGAAAAGTAACCGAGACATTATGGATGTCAGTACTGTGTCCCAGCAACAAGGAAAATAACGAAGAGAAATGTGTAAGCAAATGAAAAAGGGGGGCTAATCTACCTTATGGAGAATTCTAACAAACATATATGGAAGAAGAAAAAATGAATGGGTGTAGACAATATGATACGTGCAGGCAATGGAATACTACTCAGCCCTTAAGAGGAAAGGAGTCGTCTTGTTACAGTGACACGGGTGGACCTGGAGTATGCCGTGAGGATGCACAGACGGCGACGCCGCAGGACCTCAGCCACGAGTCGACGTGAACCCAGCGGAGAGAAGCGGGTTATGAAGCCGGGTGGAGGCGCCGATGTTGGGGACGCATTGGGCAGGGGTATAAAATCTCCCTCCAATAAAAGGGACAAGCTCGAGAGCTCTGCCCTACAACCAGGCAACTACAGTCAATAACGCCATATTAGATTCTTGAGAATTGCCAAGAGAATAGCTTTTAAGGGTTCTGTCCCCAAAATACTGATGAGAGCCCGAGGGTGCACATATGCCAGTAAGCTCCACTGAGCAATTCTACAGCGCATCTGTATTTCAAAATGGTGCACATTTGTGTGTGTCAATTTTTAAATCCTGGTTTTTAAATTTTTATTTATATATTTGTTTTTAGGTACCGGGGATGGAACCCAGGACCTTTACACTGAGCTGCATCCCTAGCCCTTTCTCATTTTTATTTTGAGACAGGGTCTCTCCGAGTCCCTAAATGGCCCTGGCTGGGCTTGTTCTTGGTAATCCTCCCAGAGTGCTGGCTCCGCAGCCTGGGCCACCACGCGCGGCTGAGAAAACCTCTCAAAAAGGAAAACAATTTAATCACCAGCGGGAAAGACCGCAGTGATGCTCGTTGCAGGCAAAGTCCACCAAGAGATGCTAAAAATAATGGACAAATGTTTAAGGGCGGGAAAGGTAGGACATTTGCACGGCATCAAAGCATTTTCCCTCAAACATTTATGAGCTGCAAGTGTAAGATGTGGGCTTTTGGGATGGAGAAAGCTAAACACATGAGCTCCATGTTCCTGAGGGAGGACGTGTCAATGTCAGGCAGCCTGCAGCCCTGAGGCACACGCTGAGGCACAGGCTTCTTCTCTGTGGTTTTCTCCCCTCCCCCAGCACTGTCTCCATCCAATCGCGACCAAAAATCAGAGAAGCACAAACTGAGGGACACTCCACAAAACAAGTGACTGGTGCTCTTCCGAAGCATCAGCGTCCCGAAAGGGAAAAGCCCAAGAACCATCCCAGCTGGGGCGCTCCAGGAGATGCACCTGGACATGCACAGTGGCGTCCAGGCCCTCGTGGGGGCAAGGGGACAGGAGGTGGGGATGGGGAGCCAGTCATGAAATCCCAGCAGGTGTGCTGACCAGCGCAGTCTGCAGCCACCTTCCCCTGCTGTGCCGATGGCCCCCCGCGGCTGGGAAACATAGTCACAGTGGGAGAGTGGACAGGGGACAGACGGGCATTGGGCTTCGATATTATCCGTACCTCTACAACGATTTCAGAAAAAATAAAACAAAATAAAATAAAATAAAATAAAATGATTTCAGGGCCGGGGAGATAGCTCAGTGACACAAGCACCTGCCTAGCAAGCACAAGTTCCTGAGTTCGATTATCGGTACCAAACAAAAAAGAAGATTTCAAAGGAAAACAATTTTTAAGGGAGTTATTCTCCCCTAAGAGACCGACGCAGAAGGAGGTATACTATCATCTTTACGCTTTAGTTAACTGCGGTCCCCATCTCTCCGGAGATCCCTGTGCCCCCGACAGCAGATGTGATGCTCAAGCTGGGGGCACAGGGGGTGCTGGGTACAGGTCTGCATCCAGGAAACAGGGATTGCCAGACCGGATGATGCTGTCACGTGAGAAAAACACGAGTGGGAAATGAAACCTGGTATCATTCTTACTGTTTGCTTTGTTTTTGTCTACGTTGTTGGCATTCTGCTATTGTTCTTTTTTTATTCTCTTTAAAATAAAAAACATAGGCTGGGGATTTAGCTCAGTGGCACAGCACCTGCCTGGCAAGCACAGGGTCACGAGTTCGATTCCTGGTACTGGGAAAACAAATAAAATAAAATAAAATAAAAAATATATACATTATGACACAGACTATAGAATGTGCCAGCATCTTATAGATTTATAAAGGCCAGCATGATGGCCAGCGCCTCCCGGGCGGGCGGGGTGCCCCCTGCATCCAGGTGGGCCAGGGCGGCGGCCTTGGGGGGCAGCTGCAGCTCCACCGAGTAGACGCACGTGTCTGAGGGCTGCGCCTGGGCCGCGTCCACCAGGCCCGGCCCCAGCCGCGGGGTCAGGAAGCCCATCACGGCTGCCAGCTCCTCTGGACTCAGGTCTGCAAACAGCCGGCCAGGGTCAGGGTGCGTGGGGGGCCAGGCGGAGGTCGCAGCTGTCGGACACCGAGGCACTGGGTCCTGGTTGCACTCCCTGTGCATGGTCCTGACCCTCCCGGCCCTGCTGTCACCCTGTGCTGTTACCAGAATGCCCCATAAGGACAAAACTGTGAGCAGAGCCATAACTAAAGCTCAGTGGCTTCCTCCTGCAACCGGAGGCAGAGAGGAACAGCCGCGGGGACGGGCGCGGAATGCCTCCGCCCCGCAGGGTCCTGGAGTCTGGTCGGCCGGCAGGAGGTAGCAGGTCACAGTGGACACAGGGGCCAGCTGGGGTCAGCCAGGTGCAAGAGGTGGGACGGGGCAGAACCCGGACTCTGGGCCACGCCAGCCTGTGGCCTCCTGGCCCAGATCAAACAGTGCACTCGGCGCGGGCTACAGGGACTTCGGAGGCGGGGCAGAGTCGGAGATGAGAGCTGCCCCAGGATGGAAGGTGGGGGCACCCGTCCGGGACAGAGAACCGGACGGACACGGAGAACACGCAGCCAGGCTGTGTGGGCTTACTGCGGCGGAAAGGAAGTTCACTCCGCAGGCCAGGGGAACGGCTTCCAGGGCCGCAGTGTCCCAAACACCCGCACTAACCTCCGCCCGCTGCACATGGGACCCTGGGACGTCTGTTCTTTGGAAAACTCACAGCTGATGGAAATGAAGGCTCAGAAACGGCGCCTTTTGGTTGGTTGTGGCCGTGCGTAAACGTGGGGTTGGGAATGGCATCTTCCGGTCGGGCCCCTGAGTGGCACCAGGTTCTAACGGAGGACAGTGCTTTCTGCCCAGCTATATCCAGCGCTCGGGAGCCCTAAGGCTGGAGTCATGTTGGGCCTGGTGTCCTGTGCATGTCTTCAATTTTGGGAAACATCTCCCTCACCCTGCTAGTGTGGGTTTGGGGAGCTTTTACGCATCCCTCCCGGGTGGCTATCAGGGTTGCTCACCCTCCCTCCTCCCCCACCACGGGGTGCCTTCCTGGCTCTGCTCCTCCACCAGCGGCATCCTCAGGTGGCCCAGGGGGCCCAGGATCCTCAGATGAGGAATAGCCACCTCCATAGAGTCCATCTCCTGTGACTGCGTGAGGCTTTGGGGGGACGGCCAGACACAAACCGTAACAATGTATTTTTACTGGCTTGTAAATCGAACTTGCTAGGTAGTGAGTGTACGTTCAGCCTGTGAACTGAGGAGACAGAGAAATTTTAGATAGGACTTTAAATAAAATGTAGCCTCATCTTCCCGCTAAAGCAGTTGCCTAGATGATTAGACAGATAACACAGACGTCTTGGAAGCTTCTCTGCCACAGCAGAATTCCCCGAGCCCCCTATTTGGTTTTATCTATCTCTAGAAGTGATCTCTTTTACAAGGTAAAAAGTGTTCTAACTATTTCCATACTGTTCTTTGATATTTTCTCTCCCAAAAAGTTAAAAAACGATGGTCTAGATCTCTGGATTATTGGCCTTGCTACCAATGCTTCCTTCTTTAAACACAGTTATTACAGCTCAAATCAATTTGAATGTATGCTGGAGGTCCCCCGGGACCCCCACCCAGCTCCTTCCCAGAACTTCTCGGGTTGGCCGCTGAAAACTGAAGCTGCCCAGCGGCTTTGGGGGCCCGCCGGAACTTCTCCGACTGCAAACTGAGTAACTCTTACGGGGGGGGGTAGGGGTGACTCCAATCCATTTTTCATCCACGCAGGCGCCTACCTCTCCACTCTGCCTTCGTCCCGCCCTCCTTGGCCTCCTGGAGCATTGACAGTGAAGTCTCCAGACCCACAAACTCCCCCAGTCTGGTGCCGTTTTCAGTCGTCCCCACCGGTCCCTTCCCCGTTTTGGGGTGAGACGTCTTAACCAAGTTGTGGGCTACTCCGACCGTCACCAGGGTTCACCAACACGTATGGCCACCCCGGGACGCCCTCCTTGCCCCCCACTCGGCTCCCGTCATCTCCCCTCAATTCAAGCCCAGAGTCTGGACACCTCCACCCCGTCCCTGGCTTCACGCCGACAACCGCTTCTCGTCCTCCGCACGCCTGAGCGCTCCCACTGCCCAGCAGCAGCACCCCGCTCCTGGCCTGGCCTTATGGGGACTACAACCCATCACTTCTCACCTCCTGTGGCATGGGCCCCCTGCCTGCCCTCACAGTGCTCCCTTCTCCTGACAGGAAAGGCACATGGCTCTTCCCGGCTGGTACAAGATCTCTGCGCCATCAGCCCGACCGTCCCCCCGTGCAGCTGTGGTGCCCAGCGCCCAGCGCCAAACAACCCGCTCCTTCCTTCACGGGACAGGGCACTCCCGTTCTGCTCCTGGCGGCGTTCTCCTCAATAAACCCCTCTACAGGGGGACCTCATCGAGCCTTTAGACCACAAGACCTTTCCTTTCTCATTTGTTCAGACCTCAGCGGAGGCCTTGTCACTCCCAGAGACGCCGAGACCCACTGGGCATGCCCCACCCACCCCCCACCCGCCCCGTGACCTTGAGGGACCCATGTCTCGCTCCCACTTCTCGAGTTTATCCCCGCGCCCTCCGGCCTTTCCACCCTTCTGCCCCTGGGGACAGAGAGAGGCTCGCCCTGCTTTCCGTGCCCTTAAAATCCAATGCTGCACGCAGAAAAACCCTCCAGGAGGAACTGTCTTCCCTTGGTGTTTGGCTAACTGCAGGGCTCCCTGCCTTGGCCACTCCCCCGCACCCCATCACAGCCCTGAGTCCCAGCTGGAGACGTCCGCTGTGGACCTCGTGACAGGCCAGCCTGATGTTTACCTCTCTGCTCTCTGTGCGAAGGAAACCTCCCTTCTTCTAGTCCCCGTTCCTCCCCCAGCCTGCCTCCTCAAAAACCTAAACCCTCCACGCCCCCTACTGGCCTCAGTGATCCAGAAAGGTGGAGAGAGAGAACGGCCTTCTAGAGGCCCACGCGGCTGAGCTTGGGCTCCAGATGGGTCTCCCTGCTGCCCGCTGTGCTCGCTCACGTCCGAGCCCCCCCCAGGGACCTGCAAGATACAGTCCATTTGAGCGTTTGTGTGGCCAGACCTCATCTCAGCAGCCAGCCCGTCTCAGACTATCAGCTCTGCAGCAGGCCCGAAAGGGAAGCGACATGCTGCGAACCTCCTCCTGCCCTCGGTCGATGTCCAAGCTTATAAAGACAGCTTGACTAACAAATCTGTGCTAATTAAACATGTGAGCCCCTGGACCCTACAGCCTAAATGGACAGGACCCTTCCCCGTCGCCTACAGCACCCGACGGTAGTCCACCCATGAGACGCTCCCCAGTGGGTACATCGATCCCCGGGGAAGCAGTGTCTCGCTGACAACTCTCCTGAGTCCTTGTGAAAATCGCAAGTACCCGCTACGTCCCTCAGGCTGACCCAAACTCCGGACACACCTGAGCGCCTCCCCACCCTGCCGCATCACCCGCTTCCTTCACTGGGTCCGAGATCTTTCTCGGTTCCACCCTCAGGCCCCCCTTCAAGTCATTCCTTGCGTAGATAAAAGCTCTCCATTTTCAGGACACCCTGTGAGTTCTCCGCAGACAGGGCGGGCTCTCCTCCTCCTCCCTGCACGCTCTCGTCCAGCTGGCCCCCTGTGCCTTTTGCCACAGCCCACGGCTGCAGCCCCGCCGCGCCTCCCGCTGGCCCCCGATCACCCCTACAGGACCCTGCAGTTCACTCCCTCCCTGCTAACCCGGCCCAGTCCTTCCGCAGCCAGGACGACTTTATTTCCTTACCTTCAGCCACCAACATGGCCACTCCCATTGCTCCCCAGGTCTGGGTCCTTACTAACCCCGCCCCCCACCCCGTGCCACCCGGTCCCCCACGAACTCTCCCCTAAGGTGTCCACGCCGCCCGTATGTCCCGCACGAAGAAGCCATGAGAAACACTGCCCGCCTCCCCTCCTCTTTTTATTTATAACAACAAAGAGACAGGAGTGCCACGCCCAACAGGTGAGGCCATTACCAGCAGACACGGCAGGAAGCACACAAAAGCCACGTCCGTCTGCACTGCCCATCCTAAGAAAAGTGACCACACCGCATCTGCCCTGCCCACTCGCTGGGACAAGCACCACACTCCCTCGGCCCCCACATTCCTCAAGGCAGCAAACTCCTCCCCTGCCGTTTAAATCCCACCGTGCACCTTCGCTCCCTGCCGACACCACCCAACTCTCTGAACCCAGCCGCACGGAGGGAGCCTCCTCAGGTGCTCGCTCTCCCCCTGTGCCTTTAACAAGTTTATCCCAGAGAGCCAGAGTCCAGCCTGACCTGCGCTGGGCCGCGGGGCTCTCTCCACTCTGGGGGCCCCTGGCTGCTCACCCCAGGCCTCGCCTGCACTCTGTGTGGCTGAGAAGGGTGTGGCTGCTGAGCGCCCGCGGGTCCCCGCAGAGGCAGAGGCCCAGGCCAGAGTCCACGGTGACCCAAGGTCACGTTTAAGGGCAGAGTTGACCCGGACTCCAGGCCTGTTGGGTGTCTGATAAGAAAGGCCGCCTTTGAGACTTCCTGTGGTGACCGGGCTGGGGTGGGGCTTTGGGGACCACAAAGTCACAATGGCTAATTTTGCAGACTTCCCTAAGGGATAAATGGAGGCTTGGGCTATCACGCTTTTGAGATTTCCCTTTAACTCTTTAGAGGTGGGCCGTCCTCTCCCACCAAGACTAAACTAACACCACTAAGATTAAAAATCCCTCCAGGGCAAGACCCTACTCAGCACGGGGTCATCTCACCCTCTTGAGCCATGCCTGCTCAGACCTCTGAGTCTTCTGCCGACCTTGACTCTTCCGCCAGCCCCCATCCCTGTAGACACCCAGTAAATAGCGACAGGCGTGGAGGTCTCTGTCTCTGCCCATGCTGAGGCCCTGACCTCCCAGCTCCCCCTTGCGTTATCTTGGCCAGGTCCCCGATAGTGGGGGGGTGTAGGTGGAAGAAGGGCGGCTCCCTCAGGAAGGGGTGTGAGGGGCCAGACGGACAGAAGGCGGCCCCCAGTCCTGAGACCTCGGCCAGGGAGGCTGGGCTGGCTGCAGCACTAGCAAAGAGCCCGTGACGGTGAAGGACAGTGCAGGCACTGGGGCGGGCTCTGGGTGCTTCCAGCAACAGCTGAAGTCGGCCTCTCCTCCACAGGGGAAGAGGCTGCACACTCCTGAGCGCCGCCCCATTACCAAAGCCCACGGGGCCCCGGGAAGCCTCCCAGCCCCAAGCCGGGGCTCAGAGCCCGGCTCCCGTCCTCAGCCCTTCCCTACGGCCCCCCCTTCCTCCTCACGGCCTCTCCAGCGGTTATGGGTGACACACTGTGTCAACCTGGGGACTCTGGAGGTTTGGCTGAGTGACTCAGCAGCTCTGCGTCCTGGGCTGGGAAGGACATGCCCCTCCTGCTCTGGGACGTTGTTCGTTGTGTCCATGTGGGAAGCGCAGAAGGTTAACTGTGTGAGTGGCCAGGGGCCAGGGTGCTTACGCTGTATCCATCCTGAGCCTGTGCAGGAGGAGGGCGTGGAGACGGTGTGAGCGCTCACACACCGCCCTGGTGGGGTCCCCGGCTTACAGCGTAAGGGAGGGAGAGAGGCTGCTTGCTCTGCCACTCCCTCCTTTGCCCCGGCTGCTTTTGCTGTCTTCCTCCACCATGAACTGTTGCCCTCTGCCTCGGAGCCAGCCGAGTATGGACTGAAACCTCCACACACTGTGAGCTAAATAAACCTTCCCTTCCTTAATTTTGGGCATCGGGTATTTTGTCTTAGCAACGAGAGAAAAGTCACCGAGACGCTAGCGCAGGGTGGAAGCTGTCTGGCACTGGGGCAGCCTGGCGGGCTCGGGTCCCCCACACTCCTGCATGTGTGAAGAAATCCTTCCTAGCACTTGGAGCTGGAGCCCTTCCCTGGGGCTCCCGGAGGACAGGGGACACACACCATGTCCCTCCAGGGATGCCCTTGTCCACAGCCTGGGGAAGCCCCGACCACCCAATCCGAGGGCCCCCCAGCCCAGCTCCTCCTTCTCAGGACAAGACCCACCCTAGGATCTGCGCAGGGACCCTGGCAGCACCGATTCCTTCCTTCCGCCATGCTGTCACCAGTCAGCGTTCATGCCTAGACACTTACAGCCCGTGGCCAAGGCTCCAGAGAAGCTCCGCGGCCTTCGAGGCACCTCAGCCCCCCTGGCTGCCTCCCAGCCCATGCAGGGCTGATGTGCTGCCGCCCTCCGCAGGGTGAGGGGTACAGAAACACAAGTGGCTGCGTTCTCTAGCAGCACTGCACATGCACAGAGCACAGACGGCAGGCCCAGCCTCAGGTCTGAAGAAGCTGCGCAGGGAGCAATGGCAAGGGAACAAGATGGCGGCAGGCGCCCTGCTCTGCCCCTCTTCTGGCCAGCACTGACCAAGCGTGCCAGCCCTAAGAAGCAGCCGAGCAGGATGGAGACCAAGGCTGTGTGTGTCCAGAGGAGTCTAATTCTTTAGGACGGGAGACCAGGCCAGGTAAAGTCAGCAGACACAGCTGGCCAGGCACGCTCTTCCTCCTCCGTGTCCTCTCAGAGTCTCTGTCCACCTCCTTAATGGTTCCATCCCTGCCCACATGGCAAATGAGCCCCTAGCCAGCTGTGGCAGAGCACCTCTCTAATCCCAGCATTCTGGGAGGCTGAGGCAGGAGGATCACAAGTTTGACCCCAGCCTGGGCAATTTAGCTATTTAGTGAGGCCCTATCTCAAAATAAAAAAGGGCTAAAAATGTAGCTCAGTACAAAGGCCTAGGGTTCAATCTCAACACTGGAAAAAATACGACACAAAAATAAATGCAGAGCTGGAGCAGGGAGAGTGAGGCTGAACATCTCCTCGAAGATATAGAAGAAGAAAATCCAAGGAGCTGGGCACGGTGGCGCACACCTGTGATCTCAGCACGCTGGAGGCTGAGGTGGGAGGATTGTGCAAGTTCTAGGTAGCCTGGGCTACATAGCAAGACCTTGTCTCAAATGAAAAGGAAGGGAGGAAGGAAGGAAGGAAAAAAGGAAGGAGGAAGGAAGGAAGGAGGAAGGCAGGCGTGCGGGATGACAGGCAGGCCAAGGAGGCTCTAGAGGCCATACCCCGTTCTCTGTGTCAAGAACTTGGGAACTGGGCTTCTTCCCTCACCCACTGCACTCCCACGCGCTTCACCCACCAGTTCCCAGGTGCGGCAGGGGGAAAAGCCAGTTCTGACGTTGGGGCCCATTTATTATTTATTTGACTCAGCAGTGTAGGCACACGGTCAAGGTTGGCAGCACAGAAGGCTTGGCAGGGCGCCCCCCCCTGAGCGTATGGTAGCACAGCGCTCACCCCTACTAGACAGCAGCGTGCGCCCACCTCCCCCTAAACGTCACACACTGGATTTGTGCTCGCTCACCCTGCACTTTGCCTTCGAACTGTAAGGCGACGCCCCGAATACAGAAGGCAGGGGACAAGCTGTTAGCCGCATTGTGTGAGGTGGTCAGCATCGAGGGGCCTGTCCCCTCTTTCTTCCCCTCCCTAGGGCAGACCAAGGAGGGACCAGCAGATGCCAGGCTCCGCCCACTTGAAGCCCTGGCTTACTTGCATGTCTGCAGGTGATTGGTCGGTCCTGGACCAGGGGGCAGAGTCCCAGGACATCCTCCTCCGGGCCCTGGGTGCCCACCGTGGTTCCTGCCCAGCGCCCCCACCAGGTGCTGCTCTGGTCATCTGCAGGCCTGGAGCTAAACGACCGGTCCTCTTGCTCGCAGGACCAGGTAGGTGCGACTCTTCCTCACAAATGCCAGGGGCGAGAGGCCAGCACGGAGCAGCCTTGCCATGCAGGGGCCCTGGCCTCCTCGAGATGCCGCAGGCTCAGGACCACAAGAGGCTGTAGTTGAGAACTGAGGGTGCGGGACACCGAGGAGGGACGCCCCTCGCGCCCTGCCCTGGGGCTCCGAGGGGGAGATCCCAGTGTGCCATCCTCAAAGGCAGCCTGAGGGGCATCGGGAAAGCCAGGAAGCATAAAAGGGACTCATCTGGGGACAGTGCGGCCGCTCCCGCACTCTCCGCCCCCTCCTCCCTGGCGGGCTCAGCACAGCGGGGCCAGCAGGACCCGTGCCTCCCGACGGGCACCCCGGGCTCAGAGGCCCCAGAGGACAGCGGGAGGAGGGCCGTGCAGGGGACAGCAGGGCTGAGGAAGGACACGGGGAGCCAGGCCGGCCTGTCCCTCACCCGCCCCTAGTCGTGCGAGAAGCCCCCGTGGGAGAAGGCAGGGAGGTGGGGGGCGCAGGCGGCGGCCCGGGACGGGCAGGCCTGGGGGCTGAGCTCGCAGGCGCCGGCGTCCTCGCCCTCCCGGAAGTACACGGAGTCGGCAGAGCGGAAGGAGGGGTCCTCGTCGAAGAAGTTGTAGGGCCGCAGGAAGAAGCCCACCCCGTTGCCCACGGTCACCGTGTTGGGGACGTCCTCTGCGTGCGGGATGTGCAGGAATCCAGCTGTCACCCAGGCCACCAGGTCCTGGCGGGGACAGGAAGGGGATCCTGAGGCCCGGCTTTGCCAGGGACGCACCCACCCACCATGGGGGCCGCGGGGGCCGCCTCAGTGCACCTGCCTCCCACGGATCCTGAGCCTAGTTTGTCCTCTGGCCAGGAAGCCGTATCACAGGGTCCATTTCAGTCCAGAGCAGCACCTGGCTCCCCTGCCTGGCCTGTGCCTGCCTCCTGGACACTCATCCTGTTGCCCTGCCCTGGGGGTGCACCTCGGGGGGTGACACCCCCAGCCTACTTCCCCACCCCGCCTAGGTTTCCAGGCTTTCATCAGGAATGAGGGGGCGAGGCCAAAGTAGGCTGACAGGGAGAAATCCGAGTTCCCTGGTCCCAGCAGGCGGGGTGCGGGGTGGGGGGCTGGGGCCCCGGGTCTGTGCGCTTCCCCAGAAGGTCCCACCCTCTCGGGTCCTGAGCCCCCCGACTGGACTCAGTCCACACAGCTGGAGCTTACAGGGCTCCAGGAGTTGAGGGCAGGCTTGGGCCTTACCCAGGTCTGTTCATGAGTTCCCAGCTCAGGAAAATCCCCCCATGACACTTGATCGGAGACCAGAGGGGTTTGGGACCCTGCTTGCACCTGCCTGCCCAGCCCGGGTCTGCTCACCTCCCCCGTGATGGTCTCGTTGTTGATGAAATCTGCGAAATTCACGCTGGGCGTCCAGGGGTCGTTCTGATTGAAGATGCTGGAGCTGCGGGGCTCCTCCTCCTTCCTTCGCGTCACGGCTAGCTGGTACCTGCAGGACGGTGGTCACTGGCCCTGCCCTGCCGCGGCCGACCGTGAAGCAGGGGACTGAGCGTTCGCCGGCCCCCACACAGCGGCTGGGGCTGCAGAGCCCTGAGGCCGCGCTGCAAGTCCCGTCCCTGTCGAAGCACTGCAGTCCTCCCCTCCGTTTCCACCCTCCCAGAGGAAGTAGGCGCCTGGACCCACCCTGCCACTCCCCTGCCTCGAATACCGGCGGGGCTCTTTCCTGTGCTCCTTCCAAGGCCCCCAACCTGTCCCCTGGCCCTGGTCGCCCACTCACCGCACCCAGCTGAAGGCCCCCGCCATGGAGCTGTTCCGGGGCAGCAACTCCCCCGCAGGGCCCTGCGGCTGCACGCGGTAGCCCCGGGGGCGCCCCCACTTATTGCTGCGGTTGCTGGCCAGGTACAGGTAGCGCGGCGCGGCCCCGCCCAGGGGGAAGGCAGCCTGCTCCTCCGTCTCCAGCTGCTTGCGCGTCACCTGCAGCCTCTGGATCTGCTGCTCAGGGCTCCAGGGCACGGCTGCGGGGACGAAGGCCAGGTCCTCGGCCCAGGCCCAGTTCTCCGGTCCTGTAGGGGTGCGGGGGGCTGGTCAGCAGCGCTGGGGCCCCTCTGGACTGTGCCCGCCTGGCAGGCAGCAGCGTCAGAGTGGGGCACAGAGCGGCCGGAGCTGACGTGTCCCGCACTCCCCTCCCTCTGCCCACGCGGTCCCCAAACTGAAACAGTTCTGCCAGGATTTCCATCGTGCACCCTTGCAACATTCCTTACTGGGAAACTGCATTCACTGCCGGGAGGGGACAGAGCTCAAGGGGACACACGCTTCCCTCTCCCTCCCACAGGGACGCAGACAGGCAGAGCACCGCCAGGCCTGCCATGGACACCGGGCCTGGCAGTGCCGGCAGGGGGGACACCGGGACACGGGTGCAGGGGGTGGCATCCTCCAGGGCCACTCCTCAGCCTGGTCCTAAAGGCGGTCACAAAGGAGATGGGGTGGAGGGCGTGGTAGACAAGGCCAGGGCCAACACAGTGGTGGGCTGTGTGCCAGGGACTCGGGGACAGGGCGCAGCTGCAGTAAGCACGGGCGAGGGTTGGTCGCCGCGGGAAGGTGCCCTGCAGCTCATCCGGCCCTTGGAGGACTTCGCGCTGGGTGTGCAGCTGGCACCAGGGGCGCTGGGCGCAGCGTGGACCCTGCATCTGAGGGTGCGAAGCAGAGTTCACACAGAAAGAATGTGACAGCGGCCTACAGCAAGCGGCACTGTGACCCGAGAGGGCCCAGGGCTATTTCAGAAGCAGAACAGAAAAAAATCAGATGCTGAACTCCGTGCAGAGGAGGAAAGAGGGGGCTGGGGATTTAGCTCAGCATCACAGCGCCTGTCTGGCAAGTGCAAGGGCGTGAGTTCGACTCCCAGTACCAGAAAACAAACCAAAAAAAAAAAAAAAAAACAGAGGAGGAAAGAGAAGACAAAGATGAAATGGCTCAGCCCAGACCCCAGCTCTGGGGGCTTCCGGAATTCCGCACGGGGCCCGTCCTCGCCTACTCAGGTGAAGAATCAGGGAGGTCGAGGCTCCGCCCGCCAGGAAGCACACACCAGTGGGCTCATCCTGGGCTCATCCAGGGTGGATGCACCCAGGTTCTCCCCTCCACAGCACCCAGACAGACGCAGAGGAGTGGCGGAGACTACAGGGCGAAGAGGCGCTGGCCACCCTGCGACCCTGGTCCTGCCTCCCGTCCGGGCTCAGCCATGCCCCAGTATTTGCTAAGGAGGTTCCGAAGAGGGAGTCCAACAGGCTGTACACCCTGACAGCTCACACCCACGCACCAGGAGAGGAGCACAGACAGCCAAGCCTCCTTCCAGAAAACCCACGTAAAACACAAAGCAAACGGGGACAACTCTGCAGCCCCTCTTGCACGACGTCTTACCTGCCACGTCCAGGTCCACCTTGAAGTGGACGCTGTGGGTGTGGACCGTGCCCAGTGTGTGCTCCCCGACCCGGCTCCCGTACCTCTGGGCAGCACCGAACAGGAACGAGGAGCTGATGTAGCCCGTGGCGTGGACCTTGACTTCGATGGCCCCGTTGGGGTGGAAGATCATGTCCCACACATAGTCATAGTTGAGCAAGGTGGCCATAGACCTGACCACCAGCACTGTCTCCACAACACCCCCAAAATAATAGGAGTGGAATTCTGAGTGGTGTCGCCGCAGCGGGAGGCCCTGGTTCTGTTCAAACACACAAAGGGCGTCACGGATGGTCCTGGAGGCGTGTGACTCCACCAGGAAGTGCCAGTCCATGTAGGTGGCCAGGGAGGGGCAGTCCACCCCGCGGGTCAGGGGCGTGGAGAACTTGCCGATGCCAAAGCTGCCATCCAAGTAGTGGGTCAGCATTGCTGCTGGGGAATTTCCCCCGTAGACGACCAGGGCCTCCTGGACACTGACCTCGTAGGCCACCCTTTCTCCCTGGAAGCGGATGTCAAAGACCCTCGGGCCGCTGAAGGCTCCAAGGCCAAAGGAGAAGGCCCACAGGGAGGAGGCCACACGGCTGCCCTGGACGCTGAAGCGGGGGCCCTCGGGGTGGAACTGCAGAGGGGGAGCCGGGCCCCGGGCCACCGGCGACTTCAGGGACCAGGCCCCACCCGTGCCATTGTCGGGGACCAGCACCACCTTCACCAGGCCGGCCTCAAACTGGTCCTCCAGCCGGGCCAGGCTGTCGTAGTAGCGGCCCTGGAAGAACACCTTCTGGACAGTCCAGCGGGCAGGGTCCAGGGCCCCGTGGTCCACTAGCAGCTCCAGCCCTATGGGGTGCAGGAAGACGCCGGCGCCCGAGACGTTGTAGTAGAGGCCAAACCAGGTGGCCCGGTCCCCTGACTTCAGGCCCCGGGGCACTGTGGTCACCGTCACCAGCTGGCCTCCCTGGGGCGTGTAGTGGCAGCAGTGGTGGAGAAGCCCTGCGGCCTGGGGCAGCTCTCGCTCGAAGATCATGCGGTCAATGTCCTTGTACTCTCTGGGCAGCACGGGGCGCCGGTGGTAGGGCAGGGGGCCCCCATAGCGCTCCACGGTGACATCTCGCAGGTAGGACGGCCCGGGCAGGGGCCCCACCACCAGCTCGCTCACGTTGGGCTGGGCTTGGGCCCCGAAGAGCACGATGGCCAGCGCCTCCCGGGCGGGCGGGGTGCCCCCTGCATCCAGGTGGGCCAGGGCGGCGGCCTTGGGGGGCAGCTGCAGCTCCACCGAGTAGACGCAAGTGTCTGAGGGCTGCGCGTGGGCCGCGTCCACTAGGCCCGGCCCCAGCCGCGGGGTCAGGAAGCCCATCACGGCTGCCAGCTCCTCTGGGCTCAGGTCTGCAAACAGCAGGCCGGGGTCTGGATGCGTGTATGGCCGGGCAGGGGAAGCAGCCGTTGGGCACGGGGTCAGCTGGCCGGGTGGGCCCCCGTCTCCACTCCTGCCGGCCAGCAGGACACAAACCAAAGCAAAGATGGTGATGACAGCCAGGGCCAGGAGCACGAGGGTGGTCTTCTGGTTCATGGTCCGGGAGGGGGCCGGGGTCTCGCAGGCTGGCGCTGTGTGTTCTCAGCCGGCACCAGAGGAGCTGGGGCTGCCAGAACGGGTGCCGAGACTCCGACTCGGGCTGGGTTCTCAGGGGTTGCAGCCTGCTGCAGCCGAGGGTGGGAAGGAAGTGGGGTGGGGCGGAGGCGGAGGCCCATGGGGGGCGGGCCTGAGCCGCTGTTGATTTCCACAGACCGTACATGGTCCTCTCAGCCCCAGTCAGACCCTGCCTTGTGTCAGGGTTGGGGCTGGGACAAGGGGTACAGCTGGTCTGCGGGCCTCCACCCCCAGGAGGAGCTGGGTCCCCGCGCAGCCCCTGGACCCGCAGCCTGCTGTTCCCGCCCCGCTTTCCCAGGGGCCAGCCGTTCTCTCTGCTGTCTCTGGGACGCCCCCACCTCCAGTCCCTTCTGCTGCCAGGGCCAGCCACATTCCTTGGCCAGGTCCCGGCCTGGCCTCTCTTCTCCACTGCTGACTTTCTTGGCCTGGTTCCTTCATATTCCCTGGGGTGCTGTAGACACTTAAAAAGTCAAACAGAATCAACTCAAGGGAAATTCTTGGAAGACCTTTTATTATGACTTTCACAGAACACCCATTCCTTTGGAACATCTGGCACCACGTGAACACCAGCTATTCTGAGGGGCAGGATTGGTGGTGTTTTTGCGTGAATGTTTCAAAATAATTTTTTTGTCTTTTTGAGACACGGTCTCGCTATGCAGTTCAGGCTGGCGTTGAGCTCACTTTGTAGCCCAGGCTGATCTCAAACTTGCATCTTCCTCCAAGTACAGGTTTACAGGCGTGCACCACCACGTCCAGCCAGTCAAAATAATTTTGATAAATCTGTCACTTATAAAAACTGAGCAGAAGGGGCTGGGGATTTAGCTCAGCGGCAGATGCGCCTACCTGGCAAGCACAAGGTCCTGAGTTCGATTCCTGGTACCTAAAAATAAGTAAATAAATAAATAAAATAAAATAAAAACTGAGCAGAGCCAGGTGTGGGGGCACATGTCTGTAATCCCAGCACTCAGAGGCCGAGGCAGGAGGATCACCCTGAGTTCAAGGCCAGCCTGGGGAACAGCAAGACTCTGTCTCAAAACAAACAAACAAAAACAACCACGAAAAACTGGCAGAAAGTAAGAATTCACCAAGGGACATGGGGGGAATCAGCGTGGGAGCTGTTTCCCCAGGAGGCCGGGCAGTGTGTGTGAAGAAATCATGGGGTGGCAGAGGCAGAGGTACACGTGACCCCCCATGGCCCATCCACCCATCGCAGGCCTAGAAGCCTCGGTAAGAGAAAGGGGACAGGTCGGAGGCACAGGCCACGAGGCGGGGGTGCAGGCTATAGGGTGGATACTGCAGAGCCCAGCATGCTGGCCCCTGTCAAAGTAGATGCTGGCAGGGGAGGTGACAAAGGGGTTCTCATCAAAGGTGTCACGGAGCAAGGAGCCCCGTCTGTTCCCCACGACCACCGTGCTGGGGCCGCCCTCAGCGTGGAGAACATGAAGGAAGCGGGCTGCCCCCCAGGCCACCGGACCCTGCGGAAGAGGGGCGAGCTGGACTGCTTGGGAGGCAAGAGCGGGAGAAGCACCCGCTGGCCTGTGGTGCCCAGCCGCCACCAGGCCTGTCCACACCACAAGCACGTGACTCGGATGACTCGGATGGCAGTGTCCCGGTCAGTCACCCCTTGGAGGACGAGCCCTTGGCCCTGAATCTGAGGCCAGAAACCACTCCCTCCAACCTATGGCCACAGCCTAGCGGCCAGGACAGCGGGCACAGAGGCGCCCCGTGGTATCTGCGCGACTAACCTATCCTAAGAGGCTCCCGTTGTTGATGAAGTCAGAGAAGGCCGCCATGGGCATCCAGAGGTCCTCTGGTGACAGACTCTGCTGCTCCTTGGTACGCGCTCTTTCCTCTGGGCCACTAAGACCCGGTATCTGGCCAGAGTTGTTATATGAAAGTGGTGTTGAAAACATTAAGTGTCCAGCCGGGGGTCGTGGCATACACCTGTAATCCCAGCACTCGGGAGGCTGAGGCAGGAGGACTGTTGAGAGTTCGAGACCAGCCTGGACTACAGAGTGGGCTCAACACCAGCCTGAACTGCACAGCAAGACCCTGTCTCAAAAAGACCAAAAAAAAGAAAAGAAAGTCAAGAGTCCTTAGGTCCCAAAGCCCTCTGGACTGGATTACGTGAGACCCTCTGCCACCTGGACATGCCACCCAGCTGTGGGCAGGTTTGGGGGGCACCGCCAGCTATGGGTACCAAGCTGGGGTCTCCAGGGCTAGGAGGGGCCACTCCCTCCCTGCCACCCCCAGCCCTGTCACTTACCTCGGTGGCTGAGGGCCCTCTCCACGCTGCCGTCCAGGGCCACATGTACACCTGCCGGGCTGTGGGCCTGGATGCGCACCACGCGGGCGGCCCCAGGCATTCATCTGGTGAGCAGCCAGGCAGAGGTAGCGGGGAAGGGGGCTCCCCAGGGAAAATGCTGCCAGGGCCTCCCTGCCGGCTCAGCTGTGGGAGCTGCAGCTGGTGCTGGGGTTCCAGGGGGCTGCATGGCCTTAAACACCATGTCTTCCACTGCCAGATGTGCAGCCCTGCCAGGGAAGGGAAGGGAGAAGGGTTCCATGCCAGCGGAGGTCATTCACAGGACCCTCAAATTCCTAGCAATGTCCATGGCAGTGAGTGACTTCAAGGATCACACCCATGCTGGGAGCCGGGAGGGCTGGGCCAGTGCTAGCCCAGCTTTTTTTTTTTGAGACAGGGTCTCACTATGAGGTTCAGGCTGGACTTGAGCTCACTTTGTAGCCCAGGCTGGCCTCGAAATCAGAGTGATCCTCCTGCCTCAGCCTCTCGAGTGCTGGGATTACAGGCATGAGCCACCACACCGAGCTTAGCCCAGTTTCTAACTGGTCCTGGCCAGCAGGACAAGTCTCATGCGGCTATTTAAATAAGAATTTCAGCCAGGTATGGTGGCACATTCCTGTAATCCCAGCACTTGGGAGGCTGAGGCAGGAGCATCACCATAAGTTTGAAGCCAGCCTGAACTACATAGTGAGACCATCTCAAAACTGCCAAAAACATTAAACTTCTGTTCCCCAGTCACAGAGCCTGAGAGTGCTCCTTGCCACATACAGCTGGAGGGCATCACAGAATATCACAGCGCAGAACACCGCCGCCCTCACAGAAAGCTCTAGCACTGAGATCTAGGAGCCCCTGGGCTGCGGCTCCTGGGAGTCTAAGGCGCTGCCGGGGGCCTAATGATAGCTGAGCTGTGCCTTGCTCAGCCAACGGAAAAGCACCTGCTGCTGCCTGGAACCGCAAAGATTTGTCTTGGTGAATCCAGCTGGGCAGCTGGGAAAACCCAATCACCACCCACAACCGCGTATCTGTCTACCTCTGAGACTGGCATTCCACCCCCGGCCTCCCAAGGCAGCAGGCACTTCCGGTCCCTGGTGAAGTGAGCCGCTTTCTGCCTGTCCACTGTCGGGGGGCTCCTTGGAATCGACTGCACCACAGGCCATGCCACCCCGTGCAGCACAGGTCACTCCCTCCCTGCAGGGCAGGAGAGCGCTCCCCTTAACTGTGAGCACACAGGGCCCTGGCACGGGGAGGCGCTCACCAGAGCCAGCACCTCTGCCAGCTCGCAGCTGGGGCGCACAGCTGGAGCCTGTGCCGTACACCCTCGCACCCAGTCACTGTTACCCAACGCAACTTCCCGAGAGGCTCTGCAGCGCAGCGACGCTGCAAGACTTCCATCTGGGAAACGGCCGCAGCCCAAGTGTGCCAGAGAGCAGCCCGGCCAGCAGGACTGCCTGGGTGGCGCCCCTGCTTCTCCCGTCCTTCCCCCACCCCGGCCGCTGCAGGCCACAGGCTCTGGGGTCCCAGCAATTCCCAAGAAGCCCGCTTCCTTTCACGGTGCTCCCTGCAGTCGCTTCCGGCACCTCTCCAGCCTCCTGTGTCCCCGGCTGTCAGGTCAGGCCCTGGTGGATTTCTAACTTGTGTTCTGGCCCAAGTCTACAGTCTGATGGGCTTTTCTGTCTTGGCAGAACCCACCAGAAGCAGCAAGTCCTCTCTGAGCTTGGCTGCCCCTTGAGAAATCCCCTCCACACTCAATGGCAGCCCCCCGCCAGTGGCCACACCCCCAAATCACAGTGGCGAGGAGCAGGTGGCTCCCCCATGAGGGCGCTCACTGCGGCCCCCCAACCACAGCGCCCCATGCTCCAGTCCGCCCTCCTGCGCCTGCCCTGCTCACCCAACCCTCCGAATTAGCGAGCCAGAGGCCAAGGGCCTGGCTCGGGCCCGCGCCGCCTCTCACAGGCCCACTCGCCCCGCAGGGTGGCCTCTGGTGGCTGGAGGCTGGGGCACAGCACACGAGCATTGCCTTTTTTCAACCAGTTGCACAAGGGAAGCTGCCGGGCTGGAGGCGGGCAGCAGGAGCCCTGGCAGCTCTGGCCAGACCCCCGCAAACGGCAGACAGATGGCACTGGGCACCATCGGTGCTTGTGCTCTCCGGCTCCCTGACAGTTCTGGTGTCTCCTAGCCCCACCCAGCCCAGTCCTCCGCCCTTGCCCGCGCTCACCTGCCACACCAGGCCCACTTTGTGGCGGAAGGCGTGCGTGTGCACTGCCCCACACATGGCCCCCACTGGGTTCCAGAGGCTGTCCCACCCCGTGCAGCAGGGCTGTGCTGATGCAGCCCGTGGCATGGTCCTCTCCCCCCAGCGCCCCACTGGGTACAGCACAAAGCCTCTCCTGTAGTCAGAGCTCCCCACGGAGGACACAGACCTGACCATGAGGGTCAAGCTGGCCAAGCCCTCACAGAAATGGTCCAAAGCAACCAAGCAGGACCTGGACCTCGAACACAGACACAGCCCCCAGGAACAGCTGCCCTGGCCCTGCCCCCTGCCCCTCCCACCCCACGTGTGCACATCCACCATGGTGGCCAGGTAGGGGCAGTCTAACCCCATCCCAGGCCAAGCCTGCAGGTGCTGTCCAAACAGCAGGTCACCACGGTCTTGGGTAAGTCAGTGCCACACACAGTCAAGACTCCCGGACGCTGACCTCAGAGACCACTTGCTCACCCTGAAACCGGACGTCAAACATCCTCAGGCCACGGGACCCCCTGTGGCCAAAGGTGAACTCCAGAGCAGGGATACCACCAAGTGCCCCAGCACACCGTACCAGGAGCCCTGCGGTGAGAACCAGACAGGGGAAAGGACCTGCGACCCAGGACCTGAGGGATGAGGCCGCATCCGGGCCAGGGAGAGGCACCCTGACCACCCCGGCCAGCCTGCCCTAAACTCCCACTCCCGCTGGCCCAGGCTGCCCAGTAGTGGCCAAGGTGGAAGGCCTGCTGCTTTCGGCGCAGCGGGCATGGTCCAGAGCTTGTGGCCCACCAGCAGTTCCAGCCCATGGGGGCAGAGTGACACTGAGCCCGGAAGCTGTAGCAGGGGTCAGTCCAGGCGGTCCTGCCCAGTGTCCACAGCACAAGCCCCTGGGGTAGCAAGTGAGAGCACGGAGGAGCCGCTGCAGAAGACGGAAGCTGGGAAGCCCACGCCTTGGGAAGTATAGCCTTTCAAATGGCTCCCCATCTGCAAACTCAGCTTCCCACGCATGGTGCCAGTGGTAGGGCGGGGGCCGCCGCAGAGATCCATGGTGACACCCCACAGGCAGGACAGCCGGGGCAGCGGGCCCACCGCCAGCTTGCTCATGTTGGGCTGTGCTTGGGCCCCAAGGAACACCCTGGTCGGTGCCTCCCAAGCAGGCGGTGAGGCCCCCTCTGTCCAGGTGGGCCAGGGCTGCAGCCTTGGGGGGCAGCTGCGGCTCCACCGAGTAGATGCAAGTGTCTGAGGGCCGCATCTGGGTCATGTCCACCAGGCCCGGGGGCAGCCACAGGGTCAGAAGGCCAATCACAGCTGCCAGCTCCTCTGGGCTCAGGTCTGCAGACGGCCAGGGTGGGGTGCACGCGGCTCGCAGCCTACAGGCAGCACCAAGGCGGGCTGGCATCGCTGTCCTGGTCACACCACACAGGCCTGAGCAGGAAGGTGACGAGGGCTGCACCAGCAGCACCTTGGACTCACAGTGGAAGCTGGGAGCGGAAAGCTGCACGACAGCACTGTCCAGGTCCTACATCCACCCAGGGTCGGTTCCCACGAGGCAGGGCAGAGGAGTGGAGGAAGCACCACCCTGTGGGCCGGACACCGGAGTCAACCTCGGGTCTTGTAACACAGTTCCAATTTTCTGTGCTGTGGTTGTGCCAAGTCCTCCTCCACGTGGCGAGCCCAGCATGGTCCTGACCTCCAGGGAAAGCAGCCAGCACCAACCACAGTGCTGACATCCACGGTGCAACAGGGCAGGAACACAGGGCCGCCACCCTCGCCAGGCCCTGCCCAGGGGTCAGCAGGACGCACCGTGCAGCTCCGCAGCACTCGCTAGCCACGGCCAGCGTCTCAGGCCGTCTCCCGGGGCTGAAGGTCTGGGAAGCCTGGGCCTGGCCTTCAGATCTGCAGACCCAGCTCTGAGCCATGAGACCTTAGGACTCTTGCACATCGGGTGCTTCGCTGGCTGACAGGGCAGGAAGCTGAACTGCTGGCACTGCCTTGCAGACAGCGGGGCAGAGGCGTCCTCACTGATGGGACCCTGAACCCCACAGGCGGCAAGGTGGCTGCTGGGCACCAGAAGGCTGTGCGCAAGGTGCGGGTTGCAGAAACTTTCAGAGGGAGGCCAGGAGTCCCAGGTGGCCCTCCAAGTAACCCAAACCCACACCAGGCAAGCCCTTGAGAACCCCGAGGTCCTCAGTGAGGAGCGCGCCAGCCAGACCAGCATGGGGACCCTGCGCCCTCTGCTGGCGGCTGTGGGCACCTCAGAAAGAAAGGCCGGCTGCGTTCTTGAGAGCCAACTTCATAGGACTCAGACAGCCTGAGAGGGGCCCTTGGCAGGCAGGTGAAGGGGGAGGCGGGGGATGGGTCTGGAGGACCGCGCACCCTTGTGACTGCCCCTCGCCACCTGAGCATGGCACAGGGTCTGCAATTTTAGAAAGAGGTCCAAGTACTTGTATTTTAATAATTTCTTGACATCGTAAAAGTTTTACATTATGATCCAAGAGGCATGGGGCAAGGGGCAGCGGGACAATGAACAGACGGGGCCCACAGCGGGAGGAGCGGCGCGTGGGCTGGGGGTGTAGGTTGATTACTGAGCACTACCCGCCGACTCCTCTCTACAGGACCCGAGTGGGGGCAACGCGCCCCAGGCTGGAAACGCACACCGGAAGCACGGGCATCGGACGGGTGTTGCGGGCCGCCGACAGGCTGACCCCAGCAGCGACTCCCAGTGGTAGAATAGTAACCGCTGGGGCTGCTGGGGTCCCCACGGAGCCAGGACAGGGAGTGGTACCACGAGACGGTCAAGAGGCAGCAACTCTTCTGCAGTTGCGCCCTCCCAGCACACGTACACACACAGCAGATGTGCACGTGTGTGCGTGTCCCACACAGTGACGCTTTCCCTGGAAGCACAACAGGATACAGACAGTTCCCGCAGGGAAAGCCCAGCGGGAGCGAAGGCCCGGCCTAGGCGCAGCGCCCAGGGACTGGTTGTGGGGTTGGAGGCCGCAGCCTCAGCTTCTCAGTGCTTGGTCGTCCTGCAGCTCCCCTGGCACCCAGTGGCCGCCACCCCAGGGGGGGGGCGCCCGGGACTGCAGCCGGCACGGATGGCGCCTAAGACAACTATGGCCTCCAGGCGGGGTGAGAGGCCTGGGGGCAGAGGGGCCGGTGTGTAGGAAACGAGTGGAGGGGCCGCAGCGCCACACAGGCGAACACCCGCGACAGAAACTTCGGGAGGAGCAGGGGTCTCACTGATGCCTGCAGGACTCCCGGCCAGAACCAGGTTCGGGAGGAGACGGGTCAGAAGGGCAGCCCTGAGTCATCCCCAGGGCGGCCAGCGCCACCGTCTCACAGGGGCAGAACATGCCAGCCCTGCCTGTGACAGGAACGGAGGACAGTCGCCCGGCCACCCCGGCTCCTAAAAACACCCAGCACTTCCCGAGTCTCTCAGCTGCCACCCAACCCATCACTGAAAGGAAGAAAACACAAAGCCTAAGACGTGGGAGTGGGCGAGGGAGAGAATCAGAGCCTTGTGCCCAGGCCGTGCCATGGAGTCCGGCGGGAGCACAGGCTCGGGGCTGGGGAAGGAGACGAGAGTTCCTGAGCCTGAAAGAAGAGGTAAACACGGCACGGGACTAGATGAGAGCTTCATTAGACTCTAACTAAAAACAGAGAGGTGTGACCACTACTTCCAGCCGGGCTCCCGTCGCAACAGTCAGGTAACAAAGAGGCGGTGTCGGTCTCGGGCCAGACTCACAGAGTCCCCGGCCCCGCCCGGCCGGCCTCAGTACAGCGTCTCTGCATTGCTGCTCCGGGGCCGTTTGATCTTCTCGATGTTCTTCAGGATCATGTCGTGTAGAGTGACCTGGACGGTGGGAATCCAGGGATCAGGTGCCCTCCGGCCACTGCCTCACCCCCACTCGCTGTGATCATCTCACACCGAGCAGAGAATGCACTAAGGCCTGTAACTACCACCCCTACCTGTAAAAGCCCACTTTGTGCGGAAGACAGCCAGCAACCCTCTCATCCATCTTAGAGACTGCGTGGAGGTCAGGGCTCGGACACACAGGTTTGGAAACTTAATACCTTAACACGCACACGAGCCCCCGCCCAGCAAGAGGCCTCACACCGAGGCCTCCTCAGCAGTTTTGAGGCACCCGATACTGGGTGTTTGAGCAGAATTTGCTCCGGGATTTTTCTTTGTTTTGCTGGGGGTTATTTTGGAAATGGGAGTCTCACTATGCAGCCCAGGTTGGCTTTGAGCTCCCAACCCTCCTGCCTCAGCCTCCTGAGAGCTAGGATTACAGGTGCACACCCCCAGCTGTTCTACCTATTTCACCTCCACCCTTGGGTTCTCAGGGAAGCCAGTGTGACCATGGCCCAGGGCCAGGGCAACTCACGTATTGATTCCTCAGCTCTGAAATGATGAGCCGAAGGCTGATGTATTCCTTTTCGTCGATCTCTGTCACGGTGCGGCGATAGTCCTCCTGCAGGGACACGGTGCAGGACTCGTCCCCAACCTGCTGCAGACAGGCGGCTCTCGCCCGGCAAGGCCACCCTCCGCCACAAAACCCTAACTTACCACGTGGGGGTATTTAGCTATTTTAGAAACCAATTTGGCTCTGGTAATATAATATCTGGAAGGAGACAGAAGGAAGCTGTGGGGACCCGGCCAGGGCCTCCCTGCTCTCCCCGCTTATCCCAGGCCAAGCCCACACAGCACACCTGGAGATCTGGTCCAGGTAAGATGCAGCTTCACTCTCAACAGTTCTTAGTTCTGCAACTGTCTCCTCCTGGAGAAAAAAGGTGAGTCAAAAGCCACTTCCAAGCTGAGCATGGCAGCACACACCTGTAACCCCAGCTCTCTGGGAGGCTGATGCAGGCAGATTACAAGTTCCAGCTCCAAATTTTAAAAAGTGGGACTGTCAGTCAGTGCAAAGGCCCTGGGTTCAAAGCCCAGGGCCACAGAAGAAAAACTCACTTTTCTGCCACTCCATGGTAGTCCCAAAGAAAAGAGACAAACAAGACAACGCAGGGGAGGTGGAGGGTCTCTGCAAAGCCTTCTGCCCCCTTTACCTGAATGGACACCCCGAAGTTGTTTCCATCTTCTATCCTGGGAATCAGGAGCTGTACCCACATCTTGACCTGAACAGTGAGAGGATCAAAGCCCACGTTTGAGGACTTCAGCCTTTCCTGTGATTTAGTCGCGATTTATGCTGCTGGGGACGCACACCACAAACAACAAAGCCAGCCCAGGCCCCGAGTCCCCAAACCCAGCCCTGCGGCTCCCCCTCGCCCACTGCCCCCAGCAGCGCCAGCCCTCCGCACCGTGTTGCACTTCTCGATCAGCAGCCGGATCTCGGGCTTCACCTTCTCGATGATGTCCACCAGCTGCTGGTTGCTCTGCAGCATCCCGCTGGGCATCACGAACACCTTGGTTCCTGGCGGGGGAGGGGAGCGGTTCTGGGGATGAAGGTCACGCCGCTTCTACCTTTCTCTCCCTCCCCACCCACGAGCTGCTGCGACCCTGGCCTCTTCTGTCACAGCCCTAGACACCACCACCAGAATCAACCAGAGATGTGTGAATCAACAGATGAGCAGCTGAACTACGCCCAAAGTTTTAGGAATACAGAACAACCTCTATTCGGTGGTACAGAGGACTGAACCCAGGACCTGCACACTGAGCAACATCCCTAACCCTTTTTTTCATTTTGAGACAAGGTCTCTGCCCAGGCAGGACTTGAAGTTGTGATCCTCCTGCCTCAGCCTCCCAGAACACTGGGATTACAGGCATGAAGATCACCGTTGAGTTCAAGGCCCACCTGGGCTACAACGCGAGTTCAAGGCCAGCCTGAACTGCAGGGAAACCCTGTCTCAAAAAGAAAAACGAACAAACATTAAAAGGGAAAAAAATAACATGGAACTGAGACTTCCATGAAAAATCTGAGCTGTGTAGTCTCTACCTCCAATCACTCTCCTGCGGCAACATACACCAAGTCAAACACCCCATTCTTGGAAGAATCGGTTTAGGGAGCGAAATAATAACCACATCTGAAGGACTTGCGAGTCCTGGCTCTGGGAAATGAAATCAGTGTCCCTCGCTGGCCTGGAGGACACCAGACCCAGCCTCCTTCTCAGGCCTGCTGGCCACAAGGGGGCTGGGGTGAGCTGGGCCCTTACCTTGCAAGGCCTCTTCGCACTCATCCAGCTTCCGCTTCTTGAAAGTGGGCTACAGTACGAAGAGGTGGGGTTAGCCAGCCCTCAGCAGCCACACACCCACCGAAAGGAGCTCTCAGGGGAGCCTCATCCCCTCCCTGACCCCATGGGCTGTCTTATTGGCTTCTGCACAATTTCCCAAACAGCTTTAAGAAGTTCTTCCCAGAAAGCAACTTGCACTGTGTTGACAAGCCTAAACTTGCAGGAACTATGACACACTTAAAGCAATCAAAGAGAGGGGAAGACACTGTAAAGAACAGAAAAAAGCAACCAAGGTAGGCTGAGAATAATTAAAGGACTATGTACAATCTACTAGCTCTACAAATAAACACAATATCCTATCAACACACATGCAATCAGCACCTGCTATGTAGCAGCGACAAAGCTAGGGGCTGGGGATACAAAGACATTTATCAGGACTGCTCCTGCCCTCCAGATGTGCAAGGGCGATGCAGACAGGGAACGTTCCAGTTCCACACGTGTGATAAAACCGTGTGGACGCGGGACTGATAAAGACGAGATGCTGAGGGACCAGAGCGAAGACAGGGACAGTCAGTCACGCAGCTAGAACGTCTCACAGGGCAGCAAGACTCAAGGGGCAAGAAAGTCTTACTCAGAGCCAGCAAACACAAGGGAGCCTGCAGGAAGTTTATCTTGCTTGAACTCACTCTCCGACCCTGACAGCGGCATTAAGGTATTTGCCTCACGCTGTAAGTGGGCACCACTGGAGTCACCCTGCTGGTAACACTCGGGGTCCTAGTTTCCACAGATAAACTCCGCTGTCTTTCAAAGTTAGTAAGGAGCAGAGGACCAAGAACCTATTGCTTGAGAACGCAGTGATGAACCTGGACACTTACACCGTCCAATCCATCATGGCTGTTGGTGAGGAGAATGGGGTCGGGGACTGGGAGGTTCATGTCGGAGTGGATCTGAGTGAGGTCGTGGATGTTTAGGGTTGGTTCCTGAAAGAGACACCCGCCCCAAAGCAACGTTAGTCTTTTCAAGCTACACGGAAAAAGTATTTCATTTAAAGGCCAAGAAATGAGGGTGCCTTACAGCACAAAACAAAACAGGACCAACACAATTCGTTCCATTTCTCCGAAAGACTAGAGCCAAAAAATGGGAAATTTAAGGGGGAAAAGAAAGTGTCTCTCACCTTCAAAAAACTATCAAGTTCTAACAACTTCTTTGGGAAAAAATTTGCCACCAAGTCTTCTGCCTGGATAAGAGGAAATACAGCCCAATTAGAAACCGTCTCCCTACACTCGCTCCTCCTCGGGGAGCTCCCTGCCACTAGTCGCATCGCGCTTTTCTATTTCACTCACCTCACTTGTGATCCGCTCCCTGAAAGAATCAACCTGAAGCAACAAGGACAGAGATTCAGTAAGAGCAACCGGGGCGACGGCAGGGCGGGGAGCCCCACGTCCAGCTGTCTTTCCCTCACCCTGAGGTTGTAGTGAGAAGCTGAGAGGCCCCCAGACTGCAAGTACTTTCTTTTTTTGAGGACCCACTTCTCCATCTTGGGAGAGGGAAATCCGCGTCCTCTGCCCTCCCTCCCGCCCTCCCCGCGTCTGGTGCTGCGCGAGTCTGCCAAGCAGACAAAGACCGCTATGCAGGAGGGCGTGAGCGCACAAACGCTGGGCTCCGGCGGACCGGCCGGGGCGAGACGGGCCCGCGTCGGCAGCGCCGGGGGCGGGG